GTCGTATGTGCCAAATTCAATCACATTTGGGCAAATATTAGATGTTTGGTGCACAATAAAAGGTAAATCGGACGAAGTTATATATGGGAGCTATATCCAAATCTAAACCAATCTAGATAAAATGTAGCGAAGGTATTTCTGAGCTGCATTTGATATATTCCCCCAAATATTGTTGTTGCAGAATGCATATTACGGCTGCGGAGGACAAAAATAACAAATCGGATGAACAATATATATGGGAGCTATAGCTATATCTGAACCGATTTCGAAATTTGGCATACTTATTTTCAGGCCTTATTTGGTTGTAGGTGCAAAATTCCATACTATTCGAGCTGATATTACACGTTTAGTGGCTACTAAAAGGCAAATCGGACGAAGATATATATGGGAGCTATATCTAAATTTTTACCGATTATCTGCAATTTCAATAGGGTTCGTCCTTGGGCCAAAAAAATGTTGTTTGGAAAATTTCATCTCAATCGGATAATAAATGCGACCTGCATTTTGTTCACAAGAATACATGGACAGACGGACGGACGGACTGACGTGCATAATCAACTCAGGAAGTGATTCTATACAGAGCATCAAAAGGAACTATGGGTCTATCTCGTTTTCTTTTGCCTGTTACAAACAAATACACAAAGACACAATACCTTGACCACCTTGTGGTGTAGGGTATAATTAGGTAAGTCCTCCACATTTTAGTTCGATTTATATGTCTTTTATGGACATAGTACCGTTTATAGGAAACGCCACTTATTGGTATTCATTATCTCACATTACTTACACAATCGCATCAACATCACTGAACAGCAAAACTTCAATATTTATTGAATTGCGAAACTTTTTCTGATATTGAACGAAAACATTCACCGTTATATTATTTAAATTATGTACAATTCTCTCAATAAATCCATTGAAATGATGCTTTTGAGAATGCACAGACTGATTGTAGTTGGCGTAGATTAATAAACGATTGGAAATTTTACTATCTCTAATGATGGCCGTAACGGCGCGAACCAAATGTTCATATTCATATTTAGTTAACGTATCAACCACAAAAGGTGTACACAAAAGTACTATCCAAATATTCCACTTTGAGGACATAGCGATGATGTTGTACGACTCGTTAAAATGATACTATTTGAGGATTTGGAAATCTAAACAGTTTTCAGAAGCGTTACCGTAATAGACACTTCAATTTCCAATGAATGGCATTGATTAATTGTCCTCAGACACTTTTAATAAATGTCATCAAGTGCTAATACTTCTTAAATGATCTCGATTAATCGTGGTGTGTAATTTCACACCAATTAAGGTAAGAACTTCTGTATTGTGTAATTGCTGATGATTCCAATAAATACATGAAATATTTATAGGTGTGGTGTGGGGGAATTGCCTTTATAAATTAACCAGGCGTTACTTACCATAGGTGAAATAATCTCATTACTCAATAAATATAAATAAGTAAAAAAGTAAAAAGTTCGGCAGGGCCGAACTTTGAATACCCTCCACCACCATTTGGAACGAATTTGGCAATTCTCAAAAACAATAAAATCCCTTAAAAATTCTGTTAAAAATATTAAAAATACCGAATGTAGCTATTTCATTAGTGTCTATACGACGACATGAACCTGCATAGGTAACATTTGTCATAAGCCATTACAATATTCAAATGCGAAACTTGAAAAATCGGTGAATAATGTAGCTTTAGTCATCAACGTACCGAATATCAGGAGGTACCGTTATATGGCTGCTTTACGAAGAGGTGGACCTGCACAGACAATTTTCTGTCTAAGGCTGTAGTATCCATTACGAACTTTAAATACCAAATTTGAAACAATTCTGGTGAAAAATGTCCATAAAATCAATAAAATACCGAATATCGGGAGGTACCGTTATATGGGGGCTTTACGAAGAGGTGGACCTGCACAGACAATTTTCTGTCTTAGGCTGTAGTATCCATTATGAACTTCAAATACCAAATTTGAAACAATTCTTGTGAAAAAATGTCCATAAAATCATCAAAATACCGAATATCGGGAGGTACCGTTATACGGGGGCTTTACGAAAACGTGGACTTGCACAGACAATTTTCTGTCTTAGGCTGTAGTATCCATTATGAACTTCAAATACCAAATTTGAAACAATTCTGGTGAAAAAATGTCCATAAAATCATCAAAATACCGAATATCGGGAGGTACCGTTATATGGGGGCTTTACAAAGAGGTGGACCCGCACAGACAATTTTCTGTCTAAGGCTGTAGTATCCATTACGAACTTTAAATACCAAATTTGAAACAATTTTGGTGAAAAAATGTCCCTAAAATCATTAAAACACCGAATATCGGGAGGTACCGTTATATGAGGGCTTTAAGAAAACGTGGACTTGCACAGACAATTTTCTGTCTTAGGCTGTAGTATCCATTATGAACTTCAAATACCAAATTTGAAACAATTCCGTTGAATAATGTCGCTAAAAACATCAAAATACGGAATATCGGTAGGTACCATTACATGAGGGAGACGTGGACCGGTACAGACAATTTTCTGTCAAAGGCTGTAGTATCTATTACGAACTTCAAATACTAAATTTGGAACAATTCCGGTGAAGAATGTCGCTAAAAACATTAAAATACCGAATATCGGGAGGTACCGTTATATGGGGGCTTTACGAAAACGTGAACTTGCACAGACACTTTTCTGTCAAAGGCTGTAGTATCCCTTACGAACTTCAAATACTAAATTTAGAACAATTACGGTGAAGAATGTCGCTAAAAACATCAAAATACGGAATATCGGTAGGTATTACTAAATAGTACTATATTTGGTACAATTTGATATTGGGTGAACAGATGCCAACAATGCATGAAATCTGAAATTTGTAATTAGGGTCGCTGCCAATATGAAGTCTGAACATATGGAGGTGGTTTTGCAGATGTTTACTACAAAAGTATGAAAAGTACTGAATTGTAGTTTTTTTGGTATTGTATGCAGAGATAGAGATAAAATTCTGTAATTTCATATTTAGATTATTTATGGTATCTGTGTTTGAGATTTGAAAATGCATCCAATATTTTTACTAAGTGGTACTAATTTTGTCATTGAGCTGGAATTCCGAAATTTGATATTGACGTCCCTGTTCATATCTGGAATTGAAATGTGGAGAAGGTTTTGGAAATGTGTACCATCATTGTACGAAAAGTACCAAATAGTACTAAATTTGGTATTAAGAATAGTACAAAATTGTATTTTTGATATTGGCTGAAGACACCAAATTTAATATTGAGGTCTCTAGAATTGAGGTTGGTTAAAAAAGAGTAGGCCTGAAATTCTGATATTTGATATATATGTCACTGTTGGTGTCCGTGGTATCTGGAATTGAGATATGGAGATGGTTTTGAAAATGTGTACTATAGTTGTTCAAAAGTTACTAAATGGCACCTAATTTGGTATTTTTCACGAGGTACCAGAAAAAATGAACCTATATATTCCATCTTCACACCAGACTTTGGGTTAATAAAAATATTGGAATATATGTAAGACAATAGGAATCTTACTTCATAAGAGTGATAATTATTAAAAATGTTGACCCTTTGTGGAGGAGGCACTGATTTAGCACTTATGCAAATATTACGATTTGCAAAGTTAAAGCAAAATCGGGTTATCCTTTCTTTTTTTGTGCAGTAAAATATTTTTTTTTCAACTTTTTATGGGGAGTGAAGCAATATTGCCCATCTCCGACCTCGATCTAAGCTTGTGCTTGTTTATTCAATTTAGATTACTTTGCAATGTGAATTTTCGAAACCCCAATAATCTACTGGGTTTATCCTGTAATTATGAAAATTTTCGATTTTGTCGCACAGCGTAATTATGGGGTGTAGGGCACCCCAAGGTGGTCAGGGTATTATGTCTTTGTGCATTTGTTTGTAACAGGCAAAAGGAAACAAGATAGACCCATAGTTCGTTTTGATGATCTGCATAGACTCACATTCTGAGTCGATTTATGCATGTCCGTACGTCTGTCGTTGTATTTTTGTAAACAAAGTACAGTTCGCATTTATTGCCCTATCCCTATGAAATTTTGCACAAATCATTTGTTTGGCCACGGACGAACCCTATTGAAATTGGAGATAATCGGTCAAAATTTAGATATAGCTCCCATATATATCTTCGCCCGATTTGCCTTTTATTGTGCACCAAACGTGTAACATCAATCCGAATAGTATGGAATTTTGCACGTACCATTAGATTGAACCTGAAAATAAGTATGCCAAATTTGATCGAAATCGGTTCGAATCGATATAGCTCCCACATATATTGATCATCCGATCTGTTATTTTTGTCAGCCGCAGCCGTTATATGCACTCTATAACAACAATATTTGGGAAATTTTTCAAATACAGCTCAGAAATACATTTGCAAAATTTATCGAGATCGGTTCGGATTTGGATATATCTCCCATATATAACTTCGTCCGATTTAGCTTTTATTGTGCACCAAACGTCTAATATTTGCCCAAATAGGATGAAAGTTGGCACTTACGACCGAATTGATTCTAGAAGCTAGTATGTCAAATTTGGTGAAGATCGGTTCAGATATAGCTATAGCTCCCATAAATACTGTTCATCCGATTTGTTGTATTTGTTACCCACAGCCGTAATATGTACTCGGTAATATCTATATTCAGGGAAATATATCAAATACAGCTCAGAAATATTTTTGCGAAATTTTGTGGAGATCGGTTCCGATTTGAATATAGCTCCCATATATATCTTTATCCGATTTCAAATTAATTAATTGCAGCAACATTTAATTGCAGGAACATTTTAAAAACTCAAATATTCTTTCGATTTTAAGACATGCATCTGACGTATTTAGGTAATACGGACGTATAAAATATTTTACCTTAGCGATGAAGTTGAATATTTGTGTACGTTATGTCGAATTTTAGGTAACGCTTTAAAAGTTGTTTCTTGTTTACATTTTTTTCCTTATGTGACATTTCCTGACAAAATTTTAAAGTATTTCAAAACATCAAAATAAACAGTATATAATTTTATATTTTATTCAAAATCTTTAAGTGAAAAATCTTAAATATGGATTCTGTGATTACTCCTGAACCACATTATATGCCTGGGTAAATGCAGATTCTACAAAACTACCAACACCTTCAAAATGTATCTTCTTTCCCACAGCTACACTGGACATTGTCCGCAATTTCGTTTTCGCCAGGGTAAAACCTTTTCAAAATTAACTCATCAACTGTTACTCGATCCATGTGCCAAACATGCATCGCAATTGATATTAACAACGCCGACGGAACCGCTCAAAGCCACAGAAGGACCCTCGGAAAAGGAAATACAAATTTTACAAAATCGTAAAAATTTCCTTGATACGATTTATCAACCACCCATTATTCCCGGATATGAAGGATTTATACCAAATATGAGTAATAAAACGGGACAACGTTATCTGATTGCTGCCACCAAGGGTGTGGCTGAGCATGAAATATTGGCCGAACGTTTGCGTTGTGAAAAACGTGCCTTGAGGCATAGAGATTTGCTGGGCAGTGGAAATGGTTTATTTGATGCAAAGTTGAGGGAACGGATGGTATAACTAAGGTGGGATGTTCAATTGAGATATAATTCATATTTGTATTCCACAGATGCCCCAGACAAAGTATCGTGCACCTTTGGTTCCAGTTTTAACTAGGGGTCAAGCGGTGAATATAGAGGATTGCAAGAATTTGAAGAAAGAGAAGTTACCATATTCCAAGTTCACTACACCTCATTTTATGGAAGATGACGATGAAGATAAATATATTATTAATGGTAAGTTTTTTATAAGTTAAATTTCCCGTAAATGGGTGAACTCTAAAACTATTAAAACCTCAACCCAGCATGAGTACACCGTGAGATAAAAAACAAGTTAAAAAGTAAGTTAAAAGTATCGGCAATACCGACTGCCGACAGATATATACCCTCAGCCTGTGTTCGATTATTTAAATATAATTTGACTAGTGTTACAATTATTCAAACGTTTGACCCTCTATGGAGCAGGTTCCGAAAGAATAGGCCAATATTGTATATTTAGTATCGGTCCCAAAAATATGATATAAATATTCCGACGTTCCTGGTACGGATTGTATCGACTAACTTCTTCACTTTATATGAGATATGTAATAGTTTTTGGAAAATGTTAAAATGTGCGTGATGCACAAGATAGAATCTACCGAAATATTCCACTTTTATACTTCATCTGATACAAATGAAAAATATTGAGCGAAATATTGGGCAACATTATAAGAAAGGATATTTATGTCCAATTTTATGCGGAATCGTAAATTCCGATAAATTTCATATTCATATCAGGCTTCTTATTGGGAGAAATATTTGAGCATAGCAAGTAGTAAAGAATTGCTAATTGTTTCGAAAGTTATGACAGATAAAATTATTGAAAATTGTGACCCCAGAAGCGGTTGGCAGATATATATCAACTTCACAACAGATCTTGTGTTAGCAAAAATATTTGAAATTTGAAGAGAGTTGGATGTTTATTTTGCTTTATTTGAGCGTTTTGTTTTTCAAAATCTTGAACCCTATGTTTGGGCGAGATGAAATGGTTCGATCTATACCACCTTTATAACAAATCTTGTGTTGATAGAAATATTGAGGTCTAAATGGAATCGGATATTAATTTGGCATTTTATGAGCTTTATGGGTATTCAAAATTTCGACACTTTGTGGGGGAGGTACCAGAAGGAGTGGACCGATACCTTCCATGTTAACGCCAGATCTTAAGTTTATAAAAATATTAGAATGTGTGAAATTTTAAGACGTTCGGATCCTAATATCACATTTTATTCAAAATGTTGACGCTGTGTGGGGGAGGTACTTGATGGAGTGGGCCGATACTGTCCATTTTCGCACCTGACCTAGCACTGACGCAAATATTAGGATTTGCAAAGTTAGAGCAGAATCGGATTATCGTTTCTCTTTTTGTGCAAAAAATATTTTTTTTTAAATTTCGACCTTTTGTGGGGCAGGTACCAGAAGGAGTGGACCGATACATTCCATTTTAACGCAAGATCTTAAGCTTATAAAAATATTGGGATGTGTGAAATTTGAAGACTATCGGAATCTTACATCACATTTTATTAGAGTTTTAATTATTCAAAATTTTGACCCTTTGTGGGGGAGATACTTGATGGAGTGTACCGATATTGTCCATTTTCGCACATGGCCTAGCACTGATGAAAATATTTGGATTCGCAAAGTTCAAGCAAAATCGGATTATTCTTTCTCTTGCTATGCAATAGATTATTTTCTTTGAAAATTTTAACATTTTATGTGGGAGGTACCAGAAGGAGTGGACCGATATTGCCTATCTTCGAACTGGATCTAAGTTTGACAAAAATATTACGATGTACCAAGATTGGATCAAATCGGATACTCCCTTCGAGTGTTATCGTGCGCACCAGCCAGCCAGATAGACAGACAGACGGACGGACATCGGTAGATCGACTCCAAATGTTCTGAAACGGATTTGGTCCAAAGAGACCTAGGGTCTAAAACCGTTGTTTCGACTAGGCACGTTTTGACCGTATTAAACGATATATACCCTCTGTAGCCATATGGCTGAGGGTATAAAAACTGCCTTAAAGTCGAACACCATAATTATACCCAAAAAAAAACTCTTTAGCTTTTTTGGAGTCTATTTTCATTCTGTTGGGGTGTAAGTTCTTGCACTTTTTTGGAATTTCAATGGCTTTACCTCGAGCTCATGTGTATAATGAGCTTTCACTGGAATAATTTTAACAGCTGTCTGAGGAGTGGCCTAGAAATATTCATTGCGGGAAGAAGCTATCCTATGACTTAAGCCGTTTATGTACAAACACCTTAACAGTTCCTACTTGCCGTTTTCTACTTGCTTTTAATAATAATAATAATCGAAACAAAGAATGCCTTAAAAATATTATCACATTTCAAAACAATAATTTAGCTTCAAAATATTTTGTCTTCAAATTTTCTCATAAATTTTTTTATCGCCATTTATTTTTTACAATTCATTGTTGCGAAAAAAAAAATCAAATCAGTTTCTTTTCGTATCACACACAGGTTACGCCGGTCACATACCCATGACAATGGCCCATTACGGCCAGAGCAGCAAACGGCTGACAAACAGTGCCCTCTGTGAGTTTACAAATAATTATCATCACCGACAAAGTGCCGAATGGTGTCCCATGGAGTTGACAGGCATTGCCAGTTCCTGTCCCAATGCGGGACAATTTGTCATCTATCATCGGACAATCGGAATGATGCCGAACTATGCAGGTCATGTGCCAGGCGAAGCGTTTGCCATCGGTCGGACGTATGGCAATGCAACAGTTAATGCCAAATCTTGGCTGGCACTGCACAAGGATTGATGGGAGTGTGTGAGTGAGTGCGTGTGGATGGATGGATGGTGGAGTGATGCGATGCGATGTGGTAATGATAGTGCTAATGGCATGTAATTGTTGGTGTTGTTGTAGCAGTTCCATGGCACAAAAAAGGGAGTGCGTAAATATTGTGCTGTTGTTTCAAATTCAATGTTATTCGAAAGTTTGGTTCGCATGAGAATAAAGTTTAGTTTTTATAAGAAATATAGTAAGAGATTTTAATAATTTGTTGGGGAATGACATTGGCGCTCGTAAACAATTTTTCAATAAGTATCAGTTGAAATCTGCCTTTCCCTTACAAATAGCCTTAAAAACTAAAATCCAAAATTCCTTTGGCTTAAAATAGCTTAAAATAAAAAATTCCTAAAAATTCAATCATGAAATAATAAATAAAAGGTAAAGAAAAATTTTCATGTGGTGGCAATTCCTTACTTATTATTTTATTAACATAAATTGTCAAACGCTATCCTGTGGGAAAGTCCGATTTTCAGTTCCAAACTGTCAATATAAATCAATCCGTAACTGTGTTGTGGAAGTAAATGATTTTCGACATCCGGGGAAGAATAAAACTTTTAACAAACTCTATATATTCTAAGCCATATGGCTAGAGAGGATTAAGTTCGGCCGGGCCGAATTTTTTATGGGAGCCATACCGAAGCGGGAATCTCTATAGACAATTCTTTAAGGATTGTCATTTACCAAATCTTCTAAATTACCAAATTTGAAACAATTTCGTGGGTAAATGTGACTAGGATTATGAAAATACCGAGTATCGTTATATGTGCGCTATAGGAAATCCTGGACCTAAATATTCAATGTTCTGCCCCCGGAGCAAGAACCCATTAGGAAATACAAATACCAATTTTTAGACAAATCCGTGAAAAAAAATGTAGCAAAAATCAAATAAAATACTGAATATCCGAAAGAACTATTATGTGGGGGCTATACGAATACGTGGACGCTAGAACCCATTACGAACTAAAAATACCATGTTTTGGACAAATCCACGGAAAATGTGGCAAAAATGGGGGCTATACCAAAACGTGGACCTATACATACAATATTTTGCTACAATAGCTTCAACATGGAGGGTATAAAAAACGTGCCTAATCGAATAAACGTACCTAGGTCTCTTTGGACCAAATACCTTTCAGGATATTTGGAGTCGATCTAGCGATGTGCGTCCGTCCGCTTGTCTCCCTGGTTTGTGCGCACGTTCACTCTTGAAGGTAGAATCCGATTTCCGAAAGAAAATAATTTATCTGATAGAAAGGGAAAGGATCAGTCGATTTTGTGCAAATTTGTAAGTCCCAGTATTTTTGTCAGTACTGGTCAAAATCTCGAATAATTCTCTAATACTCTTTAAAATTTGAAATTAGAGTCAGATTGTCTACAAATAACACACATTCGAATATTTTTGTTAATACAAGATCAGGTGTGAAGATGGGATATATCTGTCAACTACTTCTGGTACCATCCCCACAAAGGGTCAACATTTTGAATATCCTTGAAGCTCATAAAACGCGAAATTCCATTTAGACTTGGCACATCTCAATATTTATATCATTGCAAGATATGTCATAAATATGGTCGAGATCGGACCAGTCCTTCTGGTACCTTCCCCACAAAGGGTCAACATTTTGAACAATCAAAACGATCATGTATTCCGAAAGAAGCATACGGTTCTCTTCACATTTCACACATCACAATATTTATACCAAAACAAGATCTGATGTGAATATAGAATATATCGGACCACTCCTTCTGGTAACTTCCCCACAAAGGGTCAGCATTCTGAATATCCGTGAATCTCATAAAACGCGAAATTAACATTCGATTCCATTCAAACTTAGCACATCTCAATATTTTCATCAAAACAAGGTCTATTACCTCCCCCATATCGGGTTTAAGATTACCTTCCCCAGAATGTGTCAAAATTTTGATTGTCCATGAAGCTCGTATAACCCGAAATTATCATCCAATTCTTTTGAAATTCGTCACACCCAAATATTTTTATCAATACAAGATCTGCTGCGATGATAGAATATATAGGACAACTCCTTATGGAACCTCCCCCACAAAGGGTATAAATTAAAAAAAAAAAATAAATCTCTCTTGAAATGCGAAGAAAGATCCGGTGTGAAGATGAGATATATCTGTCTGCTTCCTTTGGTACCTCCCCCAGAATGGGTCAACATTTTTGAATTGTTACGAAGCTCGTGGAACCCGAAATTACCATCCGATTCCTTTGAAATTCGTCATACCCCAATATCTGTATCAATACAAGATCTGCTGTGAAGATGGTAAATCTCTCTCTCTCCGTCTTGTACCTCTCCCAAAAAGGATCAAAAATTTTGAATAAACAAAACGGTCATAAGAGGCTTACTGAGCATCCAATTCTCTTAAATTTTCACACATCACAAAATCCTAATAAAAATTTTTGAAGATTGACTATATAGGACCACTCATTCTGATATCATCCCCCCCTACAAAAAGGGTCAACATTTGGAATTACCTAAACACTTCAAAAAATGCGAAATAATCATCGGATTCATTTAATATTCGATCCTATAGAATTGTAAATAGGTGTTCGATTTTTTTTTTTAATTTTGCACATCCAACATTTTTTGTCAGTATTAGATGAAGTGGTCCAATGGCTATGGTACATAGCGCACATTTGTACTTTTTACAAAATTACAGGCCAAATTTGATACTTCGTAAAATTTCATCAGATACGAAATGGACAATATTGGCCCACTCCCACAGAACCTCCACCCAAGGGTCCACAACCCTTTGAAGGTATACATTTGTCGGCAAAACTGAAATTGTTTCATATTTTTATTGACATTTATTAATTTTTTAAAATTTTAAATCAATAATTACAAATTTAAAAAATCCATCACTTTTCTCAATTTCCCACTTTTTCTCGCCAATATTTCCAAAATAAAAATTAAAATACAAAGAAAAATCAAAAACCCATAGACCCAGTAGAGGCCAATTAAAACATCCAAAGACAATGCGACATATTCGCTTTTTCGCACATTATCTCTGGACGAAGCATAAACATTGAATTTCACAAAACGTTTTATCAAACCCGATTGGACCAACCTCAGTATGATGCCACTTGTGTGCAGTAGCATATAACTATGACGTGGCATATAGAAAATAATCGGTGTTGACATGATCGGCTGTTTTAGGATATGGACACGTCGAGTTGGATTCAATTGATAGTAATATTTGACGGTTAAATCGAAAAGGCACAATGCAATTTTATCCTTACTATCCGGCTCACTAATGGTCTCCAGTAAATTTTGCAAGGTATTCACCTCATCATACTGACGTACAGTTGCCTTGGGCAGGGCAAACTTCATGACACTCTCCATAACGCGTGACGTGTAAATCGTGTAATTATGTTCCACCACCTGATCCAGTGTCTGAAGATTATTTTTTCCACGACCATCCTGGAGGATTTGAAACAGCGCTCCCGAATAGGCGGAACGTAGAACGAATGTGTACAACAACCAAATACTCAATATATAGCGGGCAAAATTCCTTTGCGGCATCTGACCGAAAACGACGCCCCCAAAGAGGGTACTCAAGAGGTTGGTAAATGGGATACGATTTCCCTGACCATATATGAAAATCATTAACCTCGATCTGCCCAGGAATTTGATGTAGTATATACAGAGTATGGCAAAAAGAAAACTTGAACTAAAGCAGGACCAAATAATGTAACGAAATGGTTTGATTAGTCGTTCAAATGGTGTCATTGGCCTGCCCAGAGGCATGGCCAGCACGACGGTCAATGTTAGATAACTATCACTCGGCAGCAATTTCTCCGAACGCTCGGGGCTGTAAATGTAGGCTATAGCTGTGATATTGGCCTCCTGTTGCAGTATCTGAAATATAAATTAGGGAAGGAAAATTTTTTTTTTTTTTAAATATCAGTAGTCGGACGTTATTCTAATTTTGGGTCAAAGCTCACTGCCATGACCCTAAAAGACCTTAAAAATATTCTTAAAATTATTAAAGCCCTGATGGATGAAATTTGATAAAAAATATTTTTGTCTTTGACGTCATCTTTCTGATATCGTGCTCTGTAAGAGACATTTGCATAAAATTCAACGTCTTCTAAGCCTTATAGTAGAATTTCTTGACAAATAATTTTGTAACCAAATGTTAAAAAAAGACGGAAAGAACCCTCTGTTGACTAGCTTATGGGTTAAAGTTTCGGTCAAAATAATCTTCGTGGTATTTTCTCCAATATTACCGATAATACTTAATACCCTTAATCAAGGGGTTCTTAGCTCCGAAAATTAACAACAATAAAAAAAATGTGGAAGTTCAAAAAGGTTACTTTGCGATGTAAACTATCGTAAACCTTATTCCTTTATGGGAGCCTATAAAGATTCCTTTATAGGAGCCTATAAAGACTCCTTTATAGGAGCCTATAAAGACTCCTTTATAGGAGCCTATAAAGAGTCCTTTATAGGAACCTATAAAGACTCCTTTATAGGACCTTATAAAGGCCACTTTATAGGAGCCTATAAAGGCCTCTTTATAGGAGCCTATAAGAACTCCTTTTGGAGCCTATAAAGACACCTTTACAGGAGCTTATAAAGGCCTCTTTATAGCAGCCTATAAAGGCCTCTTTATAGAGCCTATAAAGACCCTTTTATAGGAGCCTATAAAGACCCCTTTATATGAGCCTATATAGACTCCTTTATAGGAGCCGATAAATATTCCCTTATAGGAGCCGATAAAGACTCCTTTTAGGAGCCTATAAAGACTCCTTTATAGGAGCCTATAAAGACTCCTTTATAGGATCCTATAAAGACTCCTTTAAAGGAGCCTATAAAGGCCTCTTCATCTTTATAGGAGCCTATAGGGACTCCTTTATAGGAGCCTATAAGGACTCCTTTATAGGAGCCTATAATAACTCCTTTATAGGAGCCTATAAAGACTCCTTTATAGGACCTTATAAAGGCCTCTTTATAGGAGCCTATAAAGGCCTCTATATAGGAGCCTATAAGAACTCCTTTTTGGAGCCTATAAAGACTCCTTTACAGGAGCTTATAAAGGCCTCTTTATAGCAGCCTATAAAGGCCTATTTATAGAGCCTCTTAAGACTCCTTTATAGAAGCCCATATAGACTCTTTCTAGGGATTTCTTAAACAAATGTTATATGGGCACCTATAGAGCTCTCTTTATAGATCTTTTATAGGAGATGGTTAATACTTCTCGTGGGAAGCTTTAGCATAACTTACCATCCGCGCTGCTCCCGTGGCCGTTCCGTTGGAAAACACCTCGCCAGCCTCCCTCGGATTCGGTTCTTTTATATAAATTGAAAAATTCATTTGTTCCGATAGCAGCGAAATAACAGAACCTTCAATGCCATGGATTCTTCGAAATGCTCCCGTCTGTGGATCTCTCTTGACATATATAAATGGTGGATAATCCCATGAGACAACACTCAATGGGCAACCATGCATATTTGCTACCTTGCTTCCAAATAGGCCCTTTTTCAAAACAAAATTTGGATTCGATTCAATGCCACGAAATGACAACAACAATTCCGGTTGTGGTGAATGACATTTTCGTGCCGTGAACGGATAATAGGTATAGACATAGGCATATTTGCCAACCATCATCATGACATTGACGTTGACCACATATAAGAAGAACAACCTACGAAAGATATTACGAATGGTGACCAGGCGCTCCGGTTCAAAGCCTGTATAGATGAGAATGAAAAATCCATTGCGATGATAGCCACGATTCGGATTCAAGAGATTCTCTTCGAATTTCCTATGTGAGAACATTTTCAAAACTCAACATCCATAAGCTCGTTTTATGGTTCCCATACTTACAGATAGGCCTCTAGGCTATCCAAAAACCATATCGACTTCTGACGATTGGCATAATATTTGAAAAATCTCTCCATTGCCTCCTCATGGCTCACAGACTCATCGTACTCCTCATGGGGATATATTTCACCTTCTACCAAATATTTAATAATTCCAAAAGGATTCATGGTGTCCCTCAACACGTGATTAATCAAATCATTTTGAATGTAAAGATTTCTTGGCCTCGATGCGTATTGGCCAATTGTCACCGACGACACCGTATAGACGGCAAAATCATTTCTTACAATCCAAACAGCGGCCAAAACTAATGGCAGGACATTAGACGTAGGCTGACTACTATTTAATAGGACTTTTTCCAATGGAGACATTACGGTAATGGAAGCAGAGCTGTTTTGAAAAATAACCTTGTATTTATTGTGACTTTTGTTGATTGACTAATATTTAAATGTGGAATTACAGCTCAATTTCATTTGCCTATTTAATAAAGATGAGCAAAAATAAAATGACACGAAATGGCTGTGGAAAATTATCAAAATAATAGGGGCTGGGCACAAAAAACAGGGCAGGTGTTTAACATCGTAGGTCACGAAAGAGGAAAAATGAAACGATTTTCAGCTGGCACGTTTCGTTGTATCTAAATAAAATAATAAAATATTAAAGACTGCCATAACCTAATGTCACCGGCTAGAATATAAAGAATAAAATCTACAGGGATTGCAGGAACAAGTTGCATATAAAAAATAGGAAGGGTCAAAGTCATTAGATTTTGTGAAATAGATCCCGAAAAACATAGGTTTTTAATGAATGCTTCCTAAACGACTCTACTCAAACATCGTAAAACAAAATTAAATCTTCAGAGAGTTTTTATTCCTAAACTTCTGAGGAATATTTTTAACAAACTCTCAGAGCACAATCCCGGATTTTTGAGGAATTTTCTAAGGAACTGTTAAAAACTTTCTCAAAGTCATTAAATTAAAAAATAAAAGCTCTGCATTTTTTCATTAAGATTTGTAAGGGAATTCTGCGCCATAATTTTGACTTTCTCTAAGGATGTCTTAGAACTTTGTTTGCTAATAAACTTTAACATCTACAATTGCGAATTTTAAAGTACCGATTTCTTAAAGACTTTTAAAGACGTCGTTGAACTCTTATAGCCATTTTGAGTTTTGAAAACTAGTTTCTTTGAGTTTTGAAAACTAGTTTCTGGTTTGTCGTAATCTAGAATCCTGATTTGGTGAGAAGTTTTTTTCTAAGAAAATTTTAGAACAATAATCGTTCATGTAAACCATTTTTAAGAATATTTTCAATGAATCAAGAATCGTAACCATTGTTTTTAAAGGACTTTTTCCTAAGAAAATATGGAAGTGGCAAATGTCTTCTAAGGGACTATTCATGGGTTTTAGAGGTACATTTCTTCGAGATTCTTCAAATACTATTCTGGAATTATAAGGAAGGACCTTCTGAGCGATAGTTGACGACTATCTTTTAATCCCATTCGAAAATTCTTCTAGTCCCATTCGAGATTTCTTCTAGTCCCATAGTCGCAGATTTTTAAGGGGTTCCTTATCTTCTAATGTACTCTTAGTATTTTTTAAAGGATAATAATGGTGAAATGTCTTCTAATGAAATTTTGCAGCAATATTGTGGATTTTTGCGATATTTGATTTTTTTTAGGAATTTCTTAGAGCCACACGGGACAGTCAGAGTCAAAATCCTGAATTTAAAGTATTTTTTATAATCTTGGAGTGTTAGAGCCGTAGTCATAGTTGCAGTTAGAGCCGAACCACACTCCTTATATTTGTGAAATTTTAAATAGAATCACAGTCACGGATTTTTGAGTGATTTTTAAGAGAATTTTAGATTTATAACAGTGAATATTTGCAGACATTTTTCAATCTCAAGGCCAAAATCATAGTTATTTGACTAAAATCTTTTCTTCCTCTCTCTATACACAAATAGTTAAATTGTTCAGGATATTGTTCTGAGAGAATTTCAAAGCAAAAATTATAAATACTTGGAGACAAAATGGTCAACTCGTGAACTTCTTTAAGACTCTTTTCTCAGGAAATTTGTAGTATTTGAGGCATGCTTTGGAAGGTTACCTCAAAGTCTCAACCATTATCGTGGATATCTGGAGAATATACTTGGAGGGACTATCAATGCTATGATTGAAAATATGTCTAAGGGACCTTAAAAGCTTTAATAATGGGTGTTTGGGAATATAATGTGAAAATACTTGCAGAAACTCTCCGCTCTTTAAGCATAATACTGCATATATATGCTTCAAGTATTTCTTCTACGGGACTATGGGAATTAAATTTTTTATAGCCATGAGAGATAAATTAGTGGATTATTGATCATTAATTTTCAAATTTGCTCACAATAAATCGACTATAAAAGTCTTGATCTTTCCAGGAATTTTTTTTTTTTTGCAAGACTGTCACACCTATATTTTTTTAACGATTTCAGACACATATTGCGGTTTTGAGAATATTTTTAGAATATACTCCCAAAGTCATATTGGAGCGATAATCGGTGGGTTTAATTATATTTGTGTGAAAGAATCTCTGAATGAAAATAATTACTGAGGAAACCATAATTGTACATTTTGAGAAACTGTGCGTTTTTGGGTAAATTTTTCTAAGGGACTCTAAAAGCCATATATATATGGGGGCTATACGAAGACGAGGACCTACATGGCCCATTTTCTGTTTTATGCTGCAGTATCTGTTAGGAACTTCAATTACCAAATTTGGAACGATTCCGTTAAATTAGGTCGCTAAAATCATCAAAATACCGAATATCGAGGGGTACCGTTATATGGGGGTACATGGCTCATTTTTATACCCTCCACCATACTATGGAGGGTATATTAATTTTGTCATTCCGTTTGTAACTCCTCGAAATATTCATGTCAGACCCAACAAAGTATATATATTCTTGATCAGCGTAAAATTCTAAGACGATTTAGCCATGTCCGTCTGTCTGTCTGTCTGTGTGTCTGTCTCTCTGTCTGTCTGTTGTAATCACGCTATCTTTCGAACAAATTGAGATAAAAGGCTAAAATTTTGCACACATGTATTTTTTCCCAGTAGGCAGGTTAAGTTCGTAAATGGGCCATGTAGGTCCAAGTTATCATATAGCCCCCATATAACGGTACCTCCCGATATTCGGTATTTTGATGATTTTAGCGACATTATTCACCGGAATTATTTCAAATTTGGCATTTGAAGTTTGTAATGGATGCTACAGCCTAAGACAGAAAATTATCTGTGCAGGTCCACGTCTTTCTGTAGCCCCCATATAACGGTACCCCCCAATATTCGGTTTTTTGATGATTTTAGCGACATTGTTTACCGGAATCGTTTCAAATTTGGTATTTGAATATATATATATATATATATATATATATATATATATATATATATATATATATATATATATATATATATATATATATATATATATATATATTCTTGATCTGTCTGTCTGTTGTAATCACGCTATCTTTCGAACGAATTGAGATAGAAGGCTAAAATTTTGCACACATGTATATTTTGTCAGTAGGCTGGTTAAGTTCGCAAATGGGCCATGTAGGTCCAAGTTATCATATAGCCCCCATATAACGGTACCTCCCGATATTCGGTATTTTCATGATTTTAGCGACATTTTTCACCGGAATTGTTTCAAATTTGGCATTTGAAGGTCGTAATGGATACTACAGCCTAAGACAGAGAATTATCTGTTCAGGTCCACGTCTTCGTGTAGACCCCATATAACGGTATCCCCCGATATTCGGTATTTTGATGATTTTAGTGACATTGTTAACCGGAATCGTTTCAAATTTGGTACAATATATATATATATATATATATATATATATATATATATATATATATATATATATATATATATATATATATATATACATATATATATATATATATATATATATATATATATATATACTTTGTTGGGTCTGACATGAGTATTTCGGGGAGTTACAAACGGAATGACAAAATTAATATACCCTCCATAGTATGGTGGAGGGTATAAAAAACAGTTAATCGTAATAGAATTAAGCGTAATAGTGTGATATCTTTATACTTGACTGCAAAACCAAAAGTGGCTATCGTTGGAGCACTCCAGCATTTAAATGTGAAAAAATCTTTTGTGTCTCGTACCATCGCTCGTTAGCGTGATACTGGTAGAGTAGCCCGACGTCAAGAAAGTGGACGGAAGAAAACGGCAACATCAGTAGAAATGGTTCGAAAAGTAAAGAAGCGAGTTGATCGACTTGAAATGGCTCGTGAGCTGAACATATCACAGTATTCCATTCGTCAAATATTAAAAAATGTGCTCGGGGTAAAGCCACTGAAATTCCAAAAAGTTCAAGAACTTACACCGCAACCGAAAGAAAATAGCCATAAAAGAGATAAAAATTTGCTTGGCCGACAGTGGTGAACTGCCGAATTTGGCACTCTCCGATGAGAAAACATTCGTTGTCCAGCAGTTTGTAAACAAACAAAATTATCGTGGTTACTTGCAAAGAGGTCAGCTGAAAATGTGCACCTTCGGTTGGCCACCAGAATTCAAGCAACGGCCAAGGTGATGGTGTGGGCCGCCATAACAGTCGATGGTCACTCTCCGCTCGTATTAATCGACTGTGGCATCAGAATAAATGCCGAATATTGTCGCGAAAATGTTCTGGAGGGTGTCTTGAACACGCAAACAAAAACAGTGTGTGACGGTTCCATTGGCCGTTTGAAGGCTATAATTCGTGCCAAAGTTGACCAATTCGAACAAATTTGAACTTATTCCAAAATTTGATGCTTTTTTCGACATTTTTTGCTTTTTTTTAATAAAATTGGAAAAGAATAAAAAATTGTGGCGTTTGACTTTGTTGTAGTTTGTTTTATGTAACCCTGTAAAGATATTTTTGAGGATTTTGGCTACATTTTCTTATGGGATTAGTTAAAATTACATATTTGGATTGCTTAATGGACTCTTTATATACAGCAATTTTTATGTAAGTTAAGATACCGAATGCATTTGGTATTTTGGTTTACGCAGATTTTGAAAGACTTTTTCAGGCAGTTGCAGCACCGTAACCGTGGATTTTAAGTCATTTTAGAGGATTCTCGAAGCCACTATTATATTTTTGGACCATTGCAATAAAATATCTTGAATATAGGAAATAACAAGTAAAAAAGCAGTAAGTTCAGCCGGGCCGAACTTTGAATACCCTCCACCATTTGGAACGAATTAGAAAATATTCAAAAAAATAAAATCCATTGAAAATTCTGTTAAAATCTTTAAAATACTTAATATCGGAAGGTGCCGATATATGGGAGGATATACGCTATTGTGGACCTATATAGACAAATCTATGTCTGGGGGTAAAGTACTCACAAGGAACTCCTTGTATGAATTTTCAGATAATTCCATTGGGAAATGTGGCTAAAATCATCAAAACCCCAAACATCGGGGGTACGGTTATGTGGGGGATATACGATATTGTGGACCTATATAGACAAATACCTTTCAGGGGTTAAAGTGCTCACAAAAAATCCTTGTGTGGGTTTTCAGAGAATACCATTGGAATATATTGCTAAACTCATCAAAATACCGAATAACGGGGGTACCGTTATATGGGGCTATACGATATCGTTAACCTATATAGAGAACTCTATGTCAGGGAGTAAAGTGCTCACAAAGAACGCCTTGTGTGGAATTTCAGACAATTCCGTTGAAAAATGTGGCTGAAATCGTCAAAATACCGAATATCAGAGGGTACCGTTATATGGGGGATATACGATATCGTGGACCTATACAGACAACTCTCTTTCAGGGAGTAAAGTATTCACAAAGAACTCCGTGTGTGGATTTTCAGACAATACGATTGGAAAATGTGGCTAAAATCATCAAAATACCGAATATCGCGGGGTACCGTTATATGGGGGCTATACGTAATCGTTAACCTATATAGAGATTTCTCTGTCGGGGGGTAAAGTGCTCACAAAGAACCCCTTGTGTATAAAGAATCCCTTGTGACCATTCTGTTGAAAAATATGGCTAAAAACATCAAACCACTGAATATCGGGGGTACCGTTATATGGGGGCTATACGATATCGTGGACCTATATAGATAATTCTCTGCCTAGGTATAAAGTACCCACAAGGAACTCCTTGTGTGGATTTTCAGAAAATTCCGTTGAAAAATGTGGCTAAAATCATCAAAATACCGAATATCGGGGGTACCGTTATATGGGGGCTATACGATATCGTGGACCGATATACCCTATCTTCGAACTTGACCTGCCTGCAGACAAAAGAGAGATCTGTGCAAAATTTTAGCTTCCTATCTTAATTCGTTTAGACTGTAGCGTGATTACAACAGACGGACAGACGGACGGACAGGGCTAAATCGTCTTAGAATTTTACGCTGATCAAGAATATATATACCTTGTTGGGTCTAAAATGATTATTTCGATGAGTTACAAACGGAATGACGAACTTAATATACCCTCTATACCTTTTTTGGTGGAGGGTATAAAAATAGAGATACATTTTAAAGGTGTATATAAAAAATTCTTACAGCAATCGTGACAGATTCCGTAATTTTTTAGTTCACATCCATACAATTCGCCGTTTTTGGTGCATAAACATTTTGTTATCATAGTCAACCCCATATGGAATATTTCACAGCTCTAGCTTTATGCCACCACTCAATATAAACGGTAAAGTATTTAGTACCTTTAAGTTTCAGGGAAATTTGTGGCATAAGCACCTGCTGTGCATCTCAAAGCTCTGATTTATATTACCAAAAACAATGATTTTTATAAATTATGTCAAAGTTTTAACTTCGGCACATTGAAGAGTCAATTAGTCAGGCAAAATTATCAACTATACGTTTGTTTTTCTCAGCAGATTTGTTAACAAAAGTACTTACCATTCTCATTGCCCCAGTAGCGGTGCCATTGGGAAAAATCTCCCCTGCTTCCCTTGGATCGGGTTCCTTTACATTGATTGTAAAATTCATGCGATGTGAAAGTAATGTCAGCAGTGAACCTTCTACACCATGCACCGATCTCACTACACCCGTACTCGGATCTTTATCGATCATTATAAATGGAGCATATGGCCATGAGACAATAGTCAAGGGACACTCATTCATATTTTCTACTTTGCTGGTGAATAAATGTTCGGTTATGTTGAAATTTGGATCCGTATCAATGCCACGAAATGTCAACAGCAGTTCCGGCTCTGGCGAATGACATTTTCGTGCGGTAAATGGAAAGTACGTGTAGACATGGACATCATTGTCAACCATCATCATGACGTTGACATGAGCCACATACAAATAGAACAGGCGTCGGAAGATCTTGCGTATGGTGGCCAAGCGATTTGGCTCAGAACCAGTATAGACCAAAAAGAAGAAGCCATTGCGATGGAAATCACGATGAGGATGAAGGAGATTCTTCTCAAATTTTCTGGGGAAATACAAAAATTTCGTTAGGAACATATTTGGAAGTATCAGTCGACTTGCCGACAGATATATACCCTTAGAGTATGGCCAAAATATATGATTTATATCCATCAATGCCTTGTTAAAATATTCAAAAAATCCATATTAAAAATTCACGACTTATAAATAGCCAAGAAGAAAAATATTTTTAAACCAGTAATGAAGGTCCTAAAGTCGGGCGGGACCGATTTTATGATACCCTCCACCACTTTGCTAATTTAGTAGAGCTCCGCATAACAATTAAAAGTTTTTATGGGAGAATTCAATCATAAACGATATGATTATAATTATAATTTAAAGTTCAAAGGACTAAATATGCCGAAGCATTTGTATCTTTTAAATTCGGACATATATTGCCCATTTGGTGCACAATTAATTTGAAATCGTATAAAGATATATATGGGAGCTATATCCAAATCGGAACCGATCTCGATAAAATTTGGTAAAGATATTTCTGAGCTGTATTTGATATATTTCCCTAAATATCGTTGTTACGGAGTGCATATTACGGCTGTGGGTAAAAAATATGACAAATCGGATGAACAATATATATAGGAGCTATAGCTATATCTAAACCGATCTTCACCAAATGTGACATACTAGCTTCTAGACTCAATTCGGTCGTATGTGCCAAATTTCATCCAATTTAGGCAAATATTAGACGTTTGGTGAACAATCAAAAGTAAATCAGACGAAGTTATACACAGGAGCTATATCCAAAGCTGAGCCGATCTCGATAAAATTCAGCAAATGTATTTCTGAGCTGTATTTGATATATTTTCCCAAATATTGTTGTTACAGAGTGCATATTACGGCTGCGGAGGACAAAAATAACAAATCGGATGAACAATATATATATGGGAACTGTAGCTACATCTAAACCGATCTCGATCAAATTTGGCTTACTTATTTTCAGGTCCAATCTGATCGTACCTGCAAAATTCCATACTATTCGGGCTGATATTACAAATTTGGTGCACAATAAAAGCAAATCGGGCGAAGATATATATGTGAGTTATATTTAAATTTTGACCGATTATCTCCAATTTCAATACGTCCTTGGGCCAAACAAATGATTTGTGCAAAATTTCATCTGGATCGGGCAATAAATGCGAACTGTACTTTGTTTACAAAAATACATGGACAGACGGACGGACGGACGGACATGTATAAATCGACTCAGAATGTGATTCCATGCAGATCATCAAAAGGAATGGGCCTATCTCGTTTCCTTTTGCCTGTTACAAACAAATGCACAAAGACATAATACACTGACCACCTTGTGGTGTAGGGTATAAAAAGCCAGAAGTTCACTTTTTGTGTACGTCGGCATCTTGGCATCTGTTTAAGGTTTTTTTTTTTGGATTTTATACTTTTACGCCAAGAGGGCATTCTGAATTGACAACATTTGTCGAAATCTGTCTAGCCATTCTTGAGATATAAGCATTCTAGCTAACATCCCATTCCTTTGTATATATACACTGTATATATTTCGCTATATATATCCGATATATTTAATATCGGCATCTACGTAACGGTTAGAATTGACCTGTTCGTCTATTTGTGACTTCGACGGGATTAAAATTATTCGCGGTTTAATGGAAAATTTGATTTTATTTAACACAAGTGTCATGGCCTTTTCACCCACTAAATATTACCCGATGAACACTAAATATGGAAGGCTTCTGCCCAGCCCTAAGCTCCAGCCCCATGCTAACTTCCACTTTGATTGGTCTATAATTGCGACCTGTAGAGCAGCTACAAAATCAAGAATTTTTTCAGTTTTTGGTCCATTTAAACCCCTAGATATTATGCGATCATCTCCAAAAAAGTAGGGTTCTATTTTGACCATAACCCCACCCCCATTCTGAATTTCGTGAGGAGTGGGCCATAATTGCAACCTGTAGCGTGATTGCAAATTAAGATGGACAGACGGAGGGACGGCCATTCATATCTAGATCGACTCAGCTCGGCGAGATAGGATGATCCATATATACTTTCCTATGTGGGAAACCAATATTTCGAGGTGTTACGTAATTTTTGGTCCAATCAAACTTATAATACCCCCAACTCATAGTGTTGTAGGCTATAAAAGTCCAAGAGCTTGTCGAAAAATTGCTTTATTTTTGAAGCCACAGAAGAACTTGTTATTGTGAAAACCTATCAAATTTCGTCCAAGAATAGCCATAATGCTGAGAGTATGAAACATTTTCCTTCATGGCTCCCTTTACTTACATATACGACTCCATGCTATCCATAAACCATATACACTTTAACCGATTTGCATAGTATTTGAAAAATCTCCTCATAGCTTCTTCATGACTACTGGGTGCACGAAAATCTTCATTGGGATACATTTCACCCTCCACAAAATATGTGATAATTCCATAAGGATTCATGGTGTCCTTGAGAATTCGATCAATCAATTCGTTGTGCATGTTACGCTTTCGCTGGTCGCTGGCATACTGGCCCATTGTTATAGCCGACACCGTGTAAATGGCAAAATCATATCTCACTATCCAGACAGTGGCCAAAATTAATGGCAGCATTGAAGGTGAAATTTGACTGTTGTTCAGAGCCAACTTTTCCAATGGCGACATTAAATCGTTAGTCTCTTGTTTATTGCACTTGTAATGGTTATGAGTTTTATTGATTGACTAACCGAGTTGAGTGAAATATTGCAAAGCCATTTTGTTTGCATTGGCAGAATGCGCAACCGATTGCATGTGACTTTATTTAGGGTTGGGTGAATTATCTAAATAATAGTGTTTATGCAAAAACAGCAGGTGTTAATAATCATAGGTCATGAAATAATCAAAGCACGCTGTTGAATACAAATTCCTTAGGGACTGTCGCGGACAATTGCAATAAAAACACACCATTAAAGAAACTGAAATAAGTTAAAATCGTTTGTATTTCAATTGTGGTAGCCAGGAGTAGGCCGATCTATCTTCAAGTTTCGAGAGAGTCATAACATATGACCTTACTTAATTTTTAAGTGTTGATGGTTTGCAGAAGAATGATTGTAAAGTGTTCCCATACCAACTTATTGCAATTTGTCTAAGCTAACTCAAGTCTCCCTGGACAAAAATAGCTTTAAGGCATTAAGAGTCGTTCTATCTATGTCTGTCCGCCCATCTATCTGCCGGGTGCGCCCAATATTTCCCGAAAGGATTATCCGATTTTGTCTAATTTCGTTCATCCGAGAATTTTCACAAAACTGGTAGACGTGTCCCACCTTTACACTTGATTAAATGTGTGTAGTATTATGAGGTTGAGAAAAGATTGAAGGACATCGGGGATTCATTTCTCGTCTTTAAATTATAAATTACCAGAAGACATTAACCGATGTATTTCATCTTCAAACTACAGGGTTGCCCATATTCGACGGTCCCATGTTTATTTTGGACCCATTCCAATCGACGAGGCTTGTCCGCAGGCAACATTCTTTGCGTCAATTGAATTTTGTACGGGAACAAATGCAAATCAATGCCAATAATCCGTTGTAAAGTGGACCGAGCCATGCCCAACTGCTGAGAACTGCGTTTTTGGGATGTTCTTGGGGACCTCTCAACACTGGCTCGTACAGCAGCGATATGCTCGGCCGATCGCCTTGGTCAACTTTTATATGGCCTCTTCGGATTAGAAAGAGCCTTACCAGTCGAAAATTTTTCGTATAAACGCTTAATGGTGTTCTTAGAAGGCGCACTTCTCACATTTTTTAATGTTTTAAACGCACGTTGAGTTTTCACAATTGATTTCTTCTGTTGAATGTAAATTTCAACTATTTCAGGGCGCTCGCGTGGCGTGTAAAAAAATGTTCATGATAAAAATCTGCTTGGACTGACGCTTCAATCGCGGTATGTCATTAAGCGATGTGACATCTCTGTCGAAAGTTATGGCGTTGCCAGAAGGGTCCGTCGAATATGGGGAACCCTGTAGATCATTTTGCATTACGTTAAGTTTGGCTGTGCCCTCCACCATGTGTAAGCTTGGCTCATAGTCTATCCTAAAAATCGCAAACATTTGGAAGTTCCTTTATATGGAAGCTGTACTTATATTGAATATTTTTATAAGAAGAGAAAATCTACCCACTGAGAACCCTAAATGTCAAATTATACCTAATTTGGTTTAATGCCAAACTGGAACAATAAAGAAGATCAGGAGGTCCTGTCATAAAGTTAAGCTACATTAAATGTTTTATCGGAGTAGTGAAGCTACATACTAAGAACCCGAAATGTCACAAATATCCGAGCTGCTTGGATATTGGGATATAAAACTTCAAAATACCGGAAATCAAGGGATCCATTTTTAAAACCAAATTTGGGTATATGTCAATCTCTATCTCTAATAGGCAGAGGGGCATGACATCCCCCATGAATATTTCGAGTTTTATGGTGGAAGAGGAGGTCGACATAACTCATTTTCCCCACCTGGACATAGTCCAATTTATATATTAAATTAATTTTGTTCAAAATTTAAATAGTGGCAGAAGTATAGAATTTGGCATTAGTCTTACTTCTTGAAAATATTTTTAAAAAAAGGCTTGTCCGAACAATTTTTGTAAAAAAATTGGAATGTGGCTTATGTAAAAATATATCTTTAAATGCCGAAATTCCAGTATTCCAGGGATATGCGTCACTTCTGTTATTTGAAACATCTAACACAATTTGAAAAAAAAAATCTGAAAAAAAGTTGGCTACTGTCATCAAAGTACCGAATATCTGGAATAATATGTGAAGAAAATTATTCTATATATGCAGAAAAACCCATCACGGAATCCAAATACTAATTTTCAAGTCATTTCTTTAGAAAATGCTACAGAAAAAGAATACATTTTAAACTCTAAATACCGAATTTTGAGCTATTCTGCAGGAAACTGAGGGTAAAATCATCAAAGTACTGAAAATGGGAAGGTAAAATTATATGGAGGCTAATGATATATATAAAGAAAGTTCTGCCACAGAGGGTAGAACCCACCACAAACTCTGAATAATAATTTTAAATTATTCCGTTAGAGATTGCAACTAGAATCTTAAAAATATCGGGAGGTACAATAATATACCTGTATAAAAATGCGAACTAAAATTTTAAATTTCACCGATCATTCAATATTTATATATACGGTGGTACCGTATACGTTCTACTCGAATATAACAGTTACTATTAATAGTTTCTAAATATATGGTTATAGTTCTTTCATGCAATCGTCTATATTTAATAACAAAATAATTGTGGTGTCCGACTATTTACTTTAGGTACAAACGTATTTTTAATCATGTAAACTTACAAAATGTGACCAGTGCCGAGGAAAATGGATTCTAAAGTTGAATACAAAGTAAACTGGTATATGGGCAATGTTACGATTCTTTTCACGTTTCATTAAAAAAACAATAGGAAAGGTCAAAAGCCGGGCGAGCCGACTATAAGACACCCTAGACCACTATGCGTATATAGTAGAGTTCCCGTAACCAAACAGTTTAAATAGAGAATTTATGTGCAGTTGTTTAAACAAATTAGTATGAACCGTATTTGAATGCCTTTGTACCTCTAGTACCAAATTGCATTGCTCTATAGTGCATGATATGACTTCGATAAGAATTATCTAGCCCCGTTTAAAATTCGTCGATTGGTCTATTATTGCGAGCACCTGTTGCTGTACAGATGTACAAATGTAAAATCAGGAAATTTTTCAGTTTTTGGTCCATTTGAACCCCTAAATACCATTCTGAATTTCGTGAAGATCGGGCCATAATTGCAACCTGTAGAGTGATTAAAAATTAAAATGGACAGACGGAGGGACGGACATCCATAGATCGACTCAGCTCGGCGAGATAGGAAGATTTATATATACTTTCCTATGTGGGAAACCAATATTTCGAGGTGTTATATAATTGTTGGCCCAATCAAACTTATAATACCCCCAACACATAGTGTTGTAGGGTATACAAATATTTATTGGAGCAATGGATGTACTGAGCCGAGTTTCTTCAAATGGAAAAATTCGGTTGGATATGAAAAAAAATATCCAATTTGGGCTGATATTACATATATGATGAACAATAACTGTAAAATTGCATAAAGACGTATATAGAAGGTATATAAAATCTCAGCATATCTCGATAAAATTTGGCAGAGGTATTTTCGAGCTGCACCTGATGTTCGGCATCAAACACCATTGATGGAGTGCATAATACGCATGTAAGGGACTTTAACACCAAATCGGATGAAACATATATATGGAAGCTATAGCTATATCTGATCCGATTTAGTGATGGAACTCAAGAACTTACACCGCAACAAAAAGAAAATAGACTCAAAAGAGCTAAAGATTTCCTTAGCTTGGCCGAAAGTGGTGAACTGCCGAATTTGGTTTTCTGCGATGAGAGAACATTCGTTGTCCAGCATTTTGTAAACAAACAAAATGATCGTGTTTACTTTCCAAAGAGGTCAGCTAAAAATGTGCACCTTCGATTGGCCGCCAGAACTCAAGCGCCGGCCTTGGTGATGGTGTGGACCGCCATAACAGCCGATGGTCGCTCTCCGCTCGTATTAATCGACGGTGGCATTAGAATAAATGCCGAATATTATCGCGAAAATATTCTGGAGGGCGTATTAAAGCCTTGGGCACGCAAACATTTTGGCCGCAGAACTTGTACCTTCCAACAGTACTCAGCACCATCGCACTCTGCACGCACCACCCAAGAATGGTTACAAAATTAGGTTCCTCGCTTCATTTTCAGCGCACAAAGGCCATAAAAATCTCCGGATACCGATCCGTTGGACTATTGTGTCTGGAGTATTTTGGAAATCAAGGTTGGCACTAAAAAACACCAAAGTATCGAGTACCTTCGTCGTGAATGGCAAAAATACGGCGGTGCAACATTCGGGCAGCGTGTGACGGCTTCATTAGCCGTTTGAAGACCATAATTCGTGCCAAAGGTGACCAATCTATTATTATTCTAAAATTGTATGCTATTTCCGACATTTTTTGCTTTCATTTAATAAAATTTAAAAAAATGTAAAAATTATGGAGTTTGACTTTGTTGTACTAATTTTTATCTCACCCTGTATATGGAAGCAAAAAAAATCTGTTACGAAAGATAATTGTTGTGGAGTGCATATTGCGCATGTGAAGCGCATGAGCCCCAAATCGGATTAAAAATATATATGGGACCTATAGCTATATCTGATCCGATTTTTACCAAATTTGATGTACTTGCTGCTAGATTGAATTTGGTCAGATGTGCCATATGGTGCACAACAAACTTGAAATCGGTTGAAGATATAAATGAATGCTATATCTAAATATGAACCGATTCTAACCATTTTCAATAGCGTTTGTTCTTGGGCCAGACAAATATTGTTTGAAAAATGTCATCTCAATCGGACAATAAATGCGACCTGTTCGCAAAAATATATGGACGGACGGACTGACATGCATATATCGACTCAGAAAGTGATTCTATGAAGATCCTCAAAAGTAACTATGGCTCTATCTCGCTTCCTTTGTCATGTTACAAACAGATCGAAATATTGAGATGTGACGAGTTTGAAAGATATCAGGAATGGGTTTTATGAGCTTTATGGCTGTTCAACCAGTTTGACCAGTTATGGGGGAGGTACGAAAATATATCCATTCTTTACATCAGATCTTTTTTTTTTAATAAAAATATTGGGATGCGTTTAAATTTACCAGAATGAGTGGGTCGATATACACGATCTTAACAACAGATCTTGTGTTAATAAAAATATTGGGGTGTGTGAAATTTGAAGGCAATCGAACCCCTATTTCACATTTTATAAGATTTATAATTATTCAAAATGTTGACCCCTTTATGGGGAGATATTCGGTAGAATGGGCCAATATTCTTAATTCTTCCACCTAACTAAGCACTGATAAAAATATTTGGACTTGCAAAGTTTGAGCAAAATTTGATGATCCAGATTGTATGTGGAAAATTATTTTCTGTAAAAATTTTGACCTTTTGTTCCAGAAGGAGTTGGCCGATATTACCCATCCGGCACGTTTTGGCCAATATATATGCAGCCATATGACTGAGGGTATAAAAAAAGTATTTTCAAAGGGCCCACGCATTTTTCAAATTCAGTAAGGTCTTGAAAAATGGGTATAAAAATCCACTATTCTTAGCAAAATTGTAATGGAAAATAAAGACGGGTTCTTGGCAGGAAGTCCTTGAAACATATTTTAAAAACTTTACAATTCTGAACCATGTAACTTTTATAAACGTTGTTAAATACTCCACAATTCTTGAAAATATTTTTTTTGCCAAACACTTGAACAGACTTTAAGGTTTGGACAAATATTTAAAAAAAAAAATAGAAAAAAGATTCTTATGCAGAATGTCGTTGAAAAATATTTCATTTAAATTATATTTATCGGGAGGTACCATTTTATGGGGGCTATACCAAAACGTGGACCAACATGGCCCATTAGCTCAATACCAAAAGTTCTGCGGACATAATATACATTAGAGCAAAATTTTATCCATCTACTTCAATTCGTTCGGAAGCTAGAGTGATTTACACAGACAGACAGACGGACATCGCTAAATCGACATAGAATTTTATGCTGATCAAGAATATATATACTTTGTGGGGTCTAAAATGTGTATTTCGAAGTGTTACAAAAGGAATGACAAACTTAATATACCCTCCATACTATGGTGAGGGTATAAAATGGTGAATAATGCGGCTAAAATCATCAAAATACCGAATATCGGGAGGTACCGTTATATGGGGGCTATACGAAGACATGGAGCAGCACAGATAATCTCCTGTCATAGACTGAAGCATTCATTACGAACATCAAATACCAAATTTGAAAGAATTCCGATGAATATTGTCGCTAAGATTATCAAAATACCGAATATCGGGAGGTACCGTTATATGGGGGCTATACCAAAACGTGGACCTATAGGACCCATTTATAACACAAAAAGTCCTACAGACATAATATACATTTAAGTAAAATTGTATCATTCTACTTCAATTCGATCGGAAGCTAGAGTGATTTCCACAGACGGACATACGGATAGTCGGACAAACGGACGGACATCGCTAAATCGACGTAGAATTTTATGCTGATCAAGAATATACTTTGTTGGGCCTAAAATGTATATTTCGATGTGTTACAAGCGGAATGAAAAACTTAATAAACCTTCATACAATAGTGGAGGGTATAAAAACATGATTCTTGACCACGGTCTCCTTTAAATTTCAAGATTTTCATCAAGGAATCCTAGGAAAAAATTCACACAAATTGAATCAAGTTGAAAACATAAGAGCCATTTTGATTTATAATTATTTTTATTTTTGATTTATAATTTTTCAAAGTCCCGTTGTTTAGTTAAGTAGGATGCAAACATTTCCGCACTTAACAGCAGATGGAAGGACCGTCTTCAAATGCCCTTAAGGACATTTCATTATATATATATATATATATATATATATATATATTTACTATCCACTCTCATAACTTCAAAATAAATGCCGCAATAATTGGTTTTTGTTAGGAAATTAATATGAGGTTTAATCCTACTTAGTACAAAATAAAGTTAGGAAATTAATTTACAAATATATTTGTGCATTCGATTTTATTAACTATTCAAAAAATCTACAATCTTTTTAATTCTCTTATACTTCGTCGATAACATTTCCAAAGCGAAAATTAAGCAACAAATCAACAACAGAGTAGCGTGCAGTGAAAAAATTCCCACCAGTACGCCCAAAGATAAATCGGCCGATTCACGACGTTTGTCAAACGATTCGGTTGCATACAAATTCAATGCTGTATAGTGACGAATAAGTCCAGATTCGACGATTTTGTGGACAATGCGACTCGCTTCGCCGCGCAAATAACTGTAACGTGGCATATAGAACACCAATGGAGCTGGTATGACACGCTCCTTGAGAACATGAACGCGACGTCGGGGATTCTTTTGATTGTAATAATTCGCCGTAGTGTCCAATACTGCCAGGGCAATTTTATCGCGACTCTCCGGCTCGCCTATGGTCCTCAGAAGTTTATCCATTGTTTCCACTTTATTGAAATTTTTAATATGTCCCCCGGGTATTGCGTTTCGCATGACACTGTTCAGAACTCCAAAAGTGTAGATGGTATAATTGTTGGCAACAACTTCACTCAAAGTTTGTAGATTATTTTGTCCCGTACCATCCTGGTGTATATTGAACAGTTCCCCCGAATATGCGGACCGCAATATAAAAGTGTACATCATCCATAAAATTAGAAGATATCGGGCGAAATTCTTTTGTGGCATATTGCCAGAGTTCATAACGCCTCCGAACAGAGTGTTTAAGAGATTCGTGAACGGTATGCGATTACCTTTACCAAACACGAAGCTCATCAAGTTCGATTTGCCCAGTAATTTTATGTAGAATATGAAACCAATAGCAAAGCAGAAGCTAGTATCGAAGCAGAACCAAACTAGACATTGAAATGGTTTCAATAGACGCTCAAACGGTGTTAATGGTCTAGCTAAGGGCATTACCAGAACATAGAATTGCCTCAAATAACTGCCACTGGGTTGCAATCTTTTCGAACGTTCCGAATAGAGAATGTACGACATGACAGTGATGTTGCCTTCATGTTCTAAGATCTGAAATGAAGAAGAAGAAATAATATAATAAATATATATTAAGTTCGTCATTTCGTTTGTAACACCTCGAAATATACATTTTAGACCCCACAAAGTATATATATTCTTGATCAGGATAAAATTCTATGTCGACTTAGCGATGTCCGTCCGTCTATCCGTCTGCCGGTCTGTGGAAATTACTCTAGCTTCCGAAAGAAATGAGGTTGATAAAATGTTACACAAATGTGTAGGACTTTTGGTATTAAAAATGGGTTAGGTACCTTTAGTACCTCCCTATTTTCGGTATTTTGTTGATTTAAGCGACATTATACATCGAAAATGTTTAAAATTTGGTATTTAAAGTTTGCAATGGAGGTCCACGTATTGCCCCCACATTGCGGTACCTGCCGATTTTCGGTAATTTGATAATTGTTGCCACATTTTTTCACGGATTTGTCTGAAAATTGGTATTTGTAGGTCATAATGGGTTCTAGCTCCTTTGGCGAAACATTGCATATAACGGTACCTGCCGATATTCGGCATTTTTATGGTTTTTGCCACATTTCTTCTAATGTTTACTTTACCCTAAGGTGGAGGTGTTTTTTATACCCTACAACACTATGTGTTGGGGGTATTATAAGTTTTATTGGGCCAAAAATTATGTAACACCACGAAATATTGGTTTCCCACATAGGAAAGTATATATGGATCTTCCTAGCTCGCCGAGCTGAGTCGGTCCGTCCGTCTGTCCGTCTCTCCGTCTGTCCATGTTAATTTGTAATCACTCTACAGGTCGCAATTATGGCCCGATCTTCACGAAATTTAGATTGGAGGTGGGGATAGGGTCAGAAAAGAACCCTATTTCTTTTGGAGATGATCTCATAATATTTAGGGGTTGAAATGGACCAAATACTGACAATTTTCCTGATTTTGCAGTTGCTCTACAGGTCGCAGTTATAGACCAATCGACGCGGAAGTAAGCATGTGGCTAGAGCTTAAGGCTGGGCAGTATTCTTTCAATTTTGATGGTAATCGGGTAATATTTAGTGGGTGAAAAGGCCATGACACTTGTGTTAAATAAAATCAAATTTTCGATTAAACCGCGAATGTTTTTAATCCCCGCGAAATCACAAATAGACGAACAGGTCAATCCTGACCGTTAAGTAGATGCCGATAGTAAATATATCGGATATATAGTTCATATACATATATACAAAGGAAGGGGATGTTAGCTAAAATGCTTATATCTCAAGAATGGCTGGACCGATTTCACCTTACAACACGGGTTGGGGTTATTATATACAGATTGCAATTATCGTCCGATCTTCACGAAAATTTTCACTAGGGTAGGTTTAGGCTCAGAAGAGCTATTGTTTTCAAATATGAACGCAATATATTTAGGGGTTGAAATGGACCAACCACTAAAACTGTTCCTGATTTTGCAGCCGTTATAAAGTCGCAAATAGAAACCAAAAGACAGCTGGTAGAATGGACCACTACTTTTGTGTGAAAAAAATACCAACATTACTTACACTTACTTACGATATCCGAAATACACAAAAGGCGAACTTCTGGCTTTTTTATTTTGATTTGACGAATATAGCCAATAAATTTGTAGATGCAGAACGGATTCTTGCTTTTGGAGATGATCGCAAAATATTAAGGGGCTCAAATGAACCAAAACAGAAAAAAATTACTGATCACACAATTGAAGCCAATCGACATGCCTGAGAAGAGAGTTTTGAATTCTAGCTTTTTGAATGACCATTGGATTATATTTAGCTGTAAAATGGACCACAACAACTAACAGCACAACGGAGTGCACAAATGTCCCCGGTCTAAATGGTAAGGGCAATATCTGGTCAGTGCTCCATGACAAAACTTCAAAAGCGAAATCTTCCAAAATGAATTTGGATATAAGGAGACTTCGAACATATTGTAGTGTTGTTAGGTATCACATGGTCGGCCCCGCACGACTATAGCCTTTGCTTAGTTGTTTTTTAATTCGGTTAATTTATTCCCTTAAAGTACTTCACAGTTTTTGGTTATCTGATTTACGGATCTTCCAAACTACTTACCATTCTTGTTGCTCCCGTTGCTGTTCCGTTGGGAAACAGCTCACCTGGCTCCAATGGATTGGGTTGCTTGATGACAATTGTAAAATTCATATGTTTCGAGAGCAGTGTTACTACGGACCCCTCTATGCCATACAGCCCCATAAAAGCACCCGTTTTCCGGTCACGCTTTACATATGTATATGGCTTATAAGTCCAGGTTACCACTGACACAGGACAGCCATGCATGTTGGTAACTCTATTTGGAAATAACCCTCCCTCACTTAGAGTGAAATTTTCATTCGACTCAATATCCTCGTATGACATCACATATTCCGGTTGTGGTGAATGGCAGCGATTCGGTGTAAATGGATAGTAGGTATAAATGTAGGCATACTGTTCAACCATCATTATGACATTGACATTCGTTATGTACAGATAGAAAAGACGTTCGAATATATTTCGTATGGTGAAAAAACGTTTGGATTCTAGGCCTGTATAGACCAGTATATACAGGCCATTGCGTTGATAACGAAAATAGGGATTGAGGAGGTTCTTTTCTAATTTTCTGAAATTTGGAAAAAAAAAAATGTTAATAACTTATGAAATATATCTTATTAGTTGCCAGGAAAATATACACATACACAAGCAAACAGTTGACCACTCGTCCAATCAACTCAAATGGGTGTGTATATTTGATTTCCTTATATAACTCACCTGAAGGCCTCCATACTGTCCAAAAACCATATTGAACGTTCTCGATTCATATAGCTCCGATAAAATTCTCGAATTTTTTCCTCATCATTCATTATCTGCATTTCACTATGAACCCAACACATAATAACCGGGCAAGGACTCATAGTTCCTTTGATAACCCTATCAATTAAATCGTTTTGCAGCTGACGACCATGTGTGGTAATGGCATATTGACCAATTGTCACCGTCGAGGCAGTGTGCACATCAAAATCATTTCTTACAATCCAAACTGTGGCCAAGATTAAGGGCAAATTCAGCGACGATGAACTTTGATTGTTATTCTCGAGAATTTTTACAAATGGAGCCATGGCACGACTCCTGCTCTTGTTTTTGGTAGAATTTACTTGTTTTTGAAAGGAATTTTGCTTGTTCACTGACCGAACAGATAAGCAGCTCTCAACAATTGGCCCCTTTTTCTGCCAGGCAAGTGCAATTGCTCTTGAACAGCAATTTATCTTAATTAGAAATCAAGTGTCACGAAAATTAAATTTGCAAAAATTTCACGCCGGCACATGACGTCTCTCGTTTTGCAAGTTACCCATGACCCTAAAAAACATCCTCAGAAAATGTTGCCTGATTTTAAAAGAACGATTTTTTATGTATCGAATTTATGGGAAGATTTCCCAATGTCGAAATGCCCTGACATATACAATCGCAAAAGAAAACACTGATCCTTGAGTTTTTTGGCGTGTGATTTGGCTACAATAAAACTTTAAAGATGGGACAAAATGTATATTGCAGAATAATTCTGCTATTAGCCAATGATATGACAGAAATTCATTAGAAACATAAAGGAAATATGTTATTCGAAAATCGCCAATTCAGGGTGAGATGAAACAACTGCAACCAACATCAGACTGCTATCATTTCTAAGCCACTCGCTATTAAAATTATTCCAGTGACAGCTCATTACATAGTATACAAGCTCGGGGTAAAGCCATTGAAATTCCAAAAAGTGCAAGAACTTCCACCGCAGCAGAAGGAAAATAGACTCAAAAGAGCTAAATAGTTGTTTCGCTTGGCCGAAAGTGTTGAACTGCCGAACATTCGTTGCAGAATATTATCGCGAAAATATTCTGAAGGGTGTATTAAAGCATTGGGTACGCAAACATTTTGGCTGCAGACCTTGGACATTCCAATAGGACTCAGCACTATGGTTACAAAATGGGATTCCTCGCTTCATTTCCAGCGCACAATAGCCACCAAAATCTCCGGATACCAATCCGTTGGACTATTGTGTCTGGAGTGTTTTGGAAGGAAAGGTTGGCACTGAAAATACCAAAGTGTGGATCACCTCAAGCAAGCGCTTCACTGGGAATGGGTCAAAATACCGCAGAACAACATTCGGGCAACGTGTGACGGTTTCATTGGCCGTATATGGACAGACGGACGGACGGACGGACTGACATGCATAAATCAACTCAAAAAGTGATTCTATGCAGATCATCAAAGGGAACTATGGGTCTCTCTCGTTTCCGTTTGCCTGTTACAAACAAATGCACAAAGACATAATACCCTGACCTCCTTGTGGTGTAAGGTATAAAAATCGCATGCGACAAAAAATATGAAAAAGTAAAAAAAATGTCACAAAATACTACAAAATCTATATTAACATCATCACCGGCATCTTTCTATGCGATCTTTTTACATTTTATACTTTTGTGCTAAGAGGGCATTCTGAATTGACAAAATTTGTCAAATTTTTCTCTGTATATATACATTATATAGATTTCGCTATATACAGGGTGAGATAAAAAACTAAAAGAAAGTCAAACGCCAAAATTTCTACATTTTTTATACCCTACACCACAAGGTGGTCAGGGTATTACGTCTTTGTGCATTTGTTTGTAACAGGCAAAAGGAAACGAGATGGACCCATAGTTCCCTTTGAATATCTGCATAGAATCACTTTTTGAGTTGATTTATGCATGTCCGTCCGTCCGTCTGTTCATGTATTCTTGTGAACAAAGTACAGTTCGCATTTATTGCCCTATCCAGATGAAATTTTGCACAAATAATTTGTTTGGCCCAAGCACGAACCCTATTGAAATTGGAGATAATCAGTCAAAATTTAGATATAGCTCCCATATATATCTTCGTCCGATTTGCATTTTATTGTGCACCAAACGTGTAATATCAGTCCGAATAGTATGGAATCTTGCACGTACGATCAGATTAGACCTGAAAATAAGTATGCCAAATTTGATCGAAATCGGTTCAAATATAGCTATAGCTCCCATGTATATTGTTCATCCGATTTGTTATTTTTGTCCTCCGCAGCCGTAATATGCACTCCATAACAACAATATTTGGGGAAATATATCAAATACAGCTCAGAAATACATTTGCTAAATTTTATCGAGATCAGTTCAGATTTGGATATAGCTCCTATATATAACTTCGTCCGATTTACCTTTGATTGTGTACCAAACGTCTAATATTTGCCCAAATTGGATGGAATTTGGCACTTACGACGGAATTGAGTCTAGAAGCTAGTATGTCAAATTTGGTGCACATATAGCTATAGCTCCCATATATATTCTTCATCCGAGTTGTTATATTTTTTACCCACAGCCGTAATATGCACTCTGTAACAACAATATTCAGGGAAATATATAAAATACAACTCAGAAATATCTTTGCCAAATTTTATCGAGATCGGTTCAGATTTGGATATAGCTCCCATATATACCTTTATCTCATTTCAAATTAATTTTGCACCAAATGGGCAATACAAGTCCGAATTTAAAGTAACAAATGCTTCGGCATATTTAGTCCTTTGAATTTTAAATTATAATTATGGTCATAGGGTGTATGATTGAATTCTCCCATAAAAACTTTAAAAAAAAAACTTCTGGCTTTTTTATGTTGATTTCGTTGACAAATATAGTCAAATATCGTAGATAAGCAAATCATATAAATGAGTCTAAATTTGGAGCTACAGAGGGGCCTCTTGCTATTGGATTTGATCGCAAAATATTTAGGGTTTCAAATGGACCAAAAACGGAAAAAAATTCATTATCACACAATTGATACCAATCGACAAGCCTGAGAAGAGAGTTAAGGACAGGGAAGAATTCTAGCATTTTGGATGAACATTGCATTATATTTGGCTGTAAATGGACCACAACAACTAAGAGCACGACGGAGTTCGTAAATATTAAGCAAATATCCCTGGTCAAAATGCTAATGGCAATATCTGGGCAGTACTCTATATCATAATTTCAAAAGCAGAATCTTGCAAAATGGATTTGGACATAAGGGGGCTTCTACTACAAAGTTCGTAATAGGCACCGCCAATACTGGTAATTAAGTTTCGCATTTTTTTATATTCAGATTTTTTTGAAATTTAAGCAGCATTATTTAACGGACTTATTTTAGATTTTTTTAATTTACTTCCAAATATATAAAATATAAATATAAAGGACACTGTTGGCATGCTCGGGATACCATAGCAGGCTTTATATTAATGGCCGTTTGAAATGTCACCCATTGTAGATATCTCGTCTATACATTAGCGACCTTCTGTATATATTAAATCTTTGTGTGCCTTCTTGTATTTATTGCCCAGATAATTTTTTTTCAAATAAATCCAGACAATGCCATTCTTCTCAATTTTTTCAAAGACCTCTGACGGTATATAACAGTGGATTAATGAAACACAATTGTAAATAATTGTTCTTAACATCTAATATATTATTCTACATATTTAAAAAATCAATAATTACCGCCAACGAACGACATCTTTTCGAAATCATCTCCAAGCCGAAGACAATCGTACTAAAAACTAAACCGGCACCATAGGTACAAAATACTCCGAATAATAAATGTATTGACAATTTTGTGGGTTCCACATGATCCTGCTGAATTTTTGTCGATGAGTAAAGAATCATTCGTCGGTAACGCTTCATTAGACCAGATTGTATTAAATCCAATATCAGGTTGCCTGTCCTCAGCTTGATATAACTATGGCGAGGCATATAGAATATGAGCGGTGCTGTCAATACGGGTTCTCGCAGGATACGCACTCTGGCATGCGGATGTAGTTGATTAAAATATTGAATGGTGAGATCGAGTGAACATAGCACAATTTTATCATCCGCACTTCCTCTGCTGATTCGGAGCAATAGCTCCTCTTCGGTGGTGTTAACCATTTCTACCTTGGCCTCAGGCACGGATTCTTTGATGACTTTTTCCAGTGTTGCAAAAGCATAGATGGTATAGTTATTGACCACGACTTCTTCTATGCTGCTCATAACATTTCGCGAACTGCCATCTTGTAGGATTTTAAACAGTTCTCCAGAATATGCCGATCGCAGAACAAAGGTGTAGAGCATCCACACGGTTAGGAGATAGCGGGCAAAATTCCTATATGGTAGTTTATTCACCAATCCCACGCCGAAGAGGGCAGCAATGAGATTTGTGATCGGTTTACGATTATCCTGTCCATAAATAAAATCCATTAAATCGGATCTACCCAAAAGTCTAATGAAATAAATCAGTAGTATCGCGAAGAGAAAACTTGAACTGAAGCAGGACCAGATAATGTAACGAAATGGTTTGATCAGACGTTCAAAAGGTGAGAGTGGTTGACCATCTGGTATCGCTAGAACGAAAGTCGATGTTAGGTAACTGGTGCTGGCCAACATTATGTCCGCACGTTGAGCATTATGTGTATAGGCGGATATCGTGATGTTGACTTCTCGATCTAGAATCTAAAATTCAAAAAAGAGTAGAAAATATATGAATGGTTTTTCAGAAATTAATGACGTGAGAACTATGTAAGCATTCTGAAAATTGGTACAGTTGTATTGAAGTCTTTCTGAACTTCATGGATATTCAAAATTTTGAGACTCTGGACAAGGGGTGGACCATTATATTCCATCTCTACACCAGACCTTGGGCTAATAAAAATATTGTGATGTGTAAAATATAAAGACAACCGGATGCTAATTTCGGTATTTTTAAAATCGTTTTGGTAATTAAAAATTTTGGCCCTTTGTGAGGTAGGTACCCGACAACAAATAATAGATTTTGTGTTGATAAAAGTATTGAGTCTTCAAGCCTAGTCTGAATAAAATATTCCACTCGTTCAACTTAAAAATGAAAAATTTTGAAGACTTTTTTGTGTAAGAGGTGAACATTTTCCCATTATTCTTTCCGAAAAAGAAAAAATTTAAAAAAAAAAAAACAAAAACATAAAAACTTTGAATGTTTAAAATTTTTTTAAAAAAATAATAATAAATAACAAGTAAGAAAAGGCTATAGTCGTGCGGGGCCGACTGTGTTATACCCTACAACACTACAATATGTTAGAATGTCCAAGTCCATATTGGAAGATTTCGCTTTTGAAATTAGGATTTTGACTAGGGACATGTGCCCAACATTTATGCACTCCGTCGGGCTGTTAGTTGTTGTAGTCCATTTTACAGATAAATATAATCCAATGGTCATCCAAAATGCTAGAATTCTTCCCTGTCCTTAACGCTATTCACAGGAGTGTCGATTGGCTTCAATTGTGTGATCGGAAAAACATTTCTGTTTTTGGTTAATTTGAACCCCTAAATATTTTGCAATCATCTCCAAAAGCAAGAAGCCCCTCTGTATCTTCAAATTTCGACTCATCTATATGATTTGCTTGTCAACGATATTTGGCTATATTCGTCAATGAAATCAGCATAAGAAAGCCAGAAGTTCGCCTTTTGGGTATTTCGTGACCTTTATAGTAGCTGCAAAATCAGGAACATTTTTAGTTGTTGGTCCATTTCAACCCCCTAATATATTGCGGACATCTTTGAAAACAATAGGTCTATCGGACATCTTTGAAAACAATAGGTCTAGCCCTTCTGAGCCCAACCCTAACCTTGTGAAAATTTTCGTGAGGATCGGACGAGATTTGCAATCCTTATATAAAATTCCCTACCTGTGTTGTAAGCTGAAAAAATATTACAAAATATTATAAGTCAAATTGAAAAAATCGCATGCGATAAAAAATATGAAAAAATAAAAAATGGGTCACAAAATACTACAAAATCTATTAAACATCATTATTAGCATTATTTTATGCGATTTTTTTAGATTTTATACTTTTTTTGTCAAGAGGGCATTCTGAATTGAAAAAAGTTTTCAAAATCGGTCCAGCCATTCATGAGATATAAGCATTCTAACATCCCTTTCCTTTGTATATATATATTGTATATATTTTGCTATATATAACCGATATATTTACTATCGTCATCTACGTAATGGTCAGAATTGACCTATTCGTCTATTTATGATTTCGCCAGTATTAAAAATATTCGCGATTTAATGGAAAATTTGACTTTTATTTAACACAAATATAATGGTTTGTTTCACCCACTAAATATTACCCGACGACCATCAAAATTGAAATGCTTCTGCCCAGCCTTAACCTCTAGACCCATGCTAACTTCCGCGTCGATTGGTCTATAATTGCGTCCTGTAGAGCAACTGCAAAATCAGGAAATTTTTCGGTTTTTATGTCCATGTCATCTCCAAAAGCAATTCGCTTCTATTCTGACCATAACCCAACCACCATGCAGAATTTCGTGAGTATCGGGCCATATGTAATTGCGACCTGTAGAGTGATTACATATTAACATGGACAGACGGACTGCGGGCATACATAGATAGATCGACTCAGCTCGGCTAGATAGTAAGGTCCATATATACTTTCCTATGTGGGAAACCAATATTTCGAGGTGTTACATAATTTTTGGCCCAATCAAACTTATAATACCCCCAACACATAGTGTTGTAGGGTATAAAAACATAAAAACTTTGAATGCATAAAATTTTTTAAAAAAATAATAATAAATAATAAAAATCTTTTGCACGATCTCTTGGAAAAGCATTGTAAGCATTAAGCATTAAAAGCATAACGGGTTATTCCTGGTATAAGAAATATATTAACATATATGTTCCTGATATTTTTCACCACCAATCAATGGCAATTCCAACCAATTTGATTCAATTACTCAAAATATATTTTTGTTGGTGTGTGCAAAACAAATGTTGAGGCATATTTCTCTATCGTGTTGGTCATTAGCCGCAGTTAATTACTTCCTGTACGACATACATGGGTGAAGTCATTACCCCCACCGAAGTTAGTACATGACAGTAATTCGAAGTGTAAACAAGATAATTTACTCAGTGGAGTTCCAGCTGTGGCAATAGTAACATGCGTTTGATTGAAATTGGTGCCGGGAAAAATAACGGCACACAAGTAATCTTGAAATGTATTTATTTATTTAAAACTAGCTGGCCCGGTCCGCGTTGCCGGCCCGTAGTTTTAGTCTTTAATGCAAATTTTGTATAGCATAATATTTCACAAATCTGGCTCATAAAGGTGAACAAATTTTTACATAAATATTGAAATAAATACCTATGGAAGGAGGGCAAAATAATTTCTGAATAGTCAAAGTTAATTACGCTTTTACACCCATTACCATAGCACCTCAGATTGCGCTTTAGAGTCCCCAAGAAGTCTATGTTCTTGTTCATAGTAAAATTCAATGACGAATCAACAATGCCCGTGTTGTTGTTCGCCAATCGGTAAAAATCACTATAGATTGGCGGCCCTGGGCCCTTTACCAAAATATTTACCTATGTTGGCATTTTTCTGTAAGATGGTTCTCTACTCACAAAGTAGCCTAAATACAGCAAAATCGATTGGAAAATGTGGTCAAGACCCTCGAAAAAGAAAAGCCAAGATGCCAAATAAAGGCCAAATCAGTTGAAAAACGTGGCCAAGACCACGGTCATAGCTGAAATCAGGGATACATTCATATAAGGGTTATACCAAAACGTAGCCCAACCAATATTCTCTTGGGGGGTTACAAATTCAATAGAATACAACATTTTCTTTTCTGACCACATATTAGATGAGAAAAAGGACTTGGGGATACTCCAATGTGGGGACTTTACATATATAAATTCCGAGGTGGCAAATATCTGTATGATGGTTCCCTACCCCAGGTTAACATAAATACAATTTTTAGCCAAATCAATTGATGAATGTGGTCAAGACCAAAATGGGCCCACTCTAAAAATTTAAAATTTTACGCGAAGAGGTTCTTTACCCCCTTAGAAACAAAGATGCCAAATAAGGGCCAAAATATGAAAAAAAGTGGCCAAGACCCCAAAATAGCTTAAATCATACGATGGTTATATAAATATGAAATCGCGTTGTACCCTTATCCGTGAGTTATGATCGATATCATGACCTGCAAAAGCGATTTAAGGTATCTTGAATGTTTGGAAAGAATTTCTGGAAGGATAGAAATCCTTTCCTTATTAAAAGTCCCATTCGCTCTACTATTTCGCACCCTTTAAATTTGGCATTTTACTGATTGTACTCCCAAAGAATTTGCATTTTGACCTCTCATTGGACGGATTATTGTCACATAAAAGAAGTAGGTCCACGCTTTTAAATGAGCCCCATTAGGCTTTTTCGGTCATTTTTGTTTGTTTAAATGTATTCGCATCTTCCAAATGTCAGTTAACATCCTATTTCGCACTTATTTCTTTTTTTTGTGAAAAATTGTATATAGTGAAAAATTGTTCTTTATTTTGTTCACAAAAAAATTCACTGAACTCAATATGATAGTACAAATTGAAAAAAAAGAATGCAAAAGAAGAATAACAAATTGAAAAAAATCTTCCACTTGTTCGCTGATTTTTTACAGCAAATGTTTAAAGATCCTTACAAAGTTTGTCAATAAAATGTACTATTATTTTAAAATTCGATTCCATTGAAATCTTTTTTCGATTTTTTTTCCCGATTTTTGCAATGAGATCTCGTTTTTGTGATTTTTCTAGCGATTTTGAAAAAGTAATAATCTTTTAACTTTGGTGTGACCGCGTTTAATTATTTCGATATCATCTATTCCGTTTCGCCATTACATAATTCAGTACTACACTTCCATGTAACCCGCCATCAATTTCAGTTCTCCAGAAATCAAGTCAATTAAATAAATTGGTATTAATATTCAAATTCAAAAATAAAATATAAAAAACACTACTAATATACATTAGAAAAAAGTAAGTCAAAATGGAAAAAAAATATGCAAAATAAAACATTACTATTGTACATTTCAAGAGTCAAAATGAAAATGTTAATATATCACATTTTTACGCGATTTTTTGGATATTATCCTTTTCGGACAGGAGACAATTCCGAATTTGTATGAATCGTTAAAATCAGTCCAGCGGTTCTTAAGTTATAAGCGTAGTAACTAACACAACTTTCTTTTATATATATAGATATAGATAAATTAATGTTACTTTTTGTTCTTATAGGCTCTTTTGAAGGCAAAAGTATTATCAGTCCGAGGAAGCGGAAAGGAATAGCTTTGTGTATATGGAATGACTGTTATGGTTATAACATTTTTCATTTTTATACCATACGCTACATAGTGGTAAGGGTATTATGTCTTTGTGCATTTGTTTGTAAAATGGAGAAGAAAACGAGATAGACCCATAGTTCCTTTTGGTGATCAGCATAGAATCACATTTTGAGTCGATTTATGCATGTCCGTCCGTCCGTCCGTCTGTCCGTCTGTCCATGTATTTTTGTAAACAAAATGCAGGTCGCATTTATTATTCCATTGAGATGAAATTTTCTATATAACATTTGTTTGGCTCAAGGACGAACCCTATTGAAATTGGTGAAAATCGGCCCAAATTTAGATATAGCTCCCATATATATATATATATATATCTTCATCCGATTTTAGGTTTCTTCTGTAACAAATGGCTAAGATCAGTCCAAATGGTGTGATACATCCGACCGAATTCAGCCTACAAGCCTGTGCTTCAAATTTCAGATATAGCTATAGCTCCCATGTATATGTTTCATCCGATGCGGTGTTTAAGTCCCTCACATTCGTATATATATAAGGACTCTACGAGACTGATATTTTGCACCAGATATCAGATACAGACTAGCAATTAATGATTCAAATTTTATCAAGATCGGTTCCGATTTGGATATAGCTCCCATATATATCTTCATCCGATTTTAGGTTTCTTGTGCACCAAATGGCTAATATCAATCCATATGGTGTGAATTGTGGCACATCAGACCGAATTTAGTATAGATACCAACAGAGATTTCAATATCAAGTTTGTAAACAAACAAAATGATCATGTTTACTTGCCAAAGAGGTCAGCAGAAAATGTGCACCTTAGGTTGGCACAAATAACAGCCTATGGTCGCTCTCCGCTCGTATTAATCGACGGTGGTATCAGAATAAATGCCAATATTATCGCGAAAATATTCTGGAGGGTGTATTAAAGCCTTGGGCGCGCAAACATTTATAGCATCCATAAAGCTGCATCGACAGAATCAATATTTTTTGGGGTATTTTACTCGGAATTTTAAGCCGAATTTGCAGTATGCATTTCCATTATGTAAGAACATCCCTGCATAGAATTGTCAATATAGGTCTAGGCTTTGGTACCTCCCTATCTTTGGCATTTGGATGAGTTTAGCGACACTATTCACTGCAATTGTACCTAATTTCGTACTTGAAGTTCCTAGTGAGTACTACCGTCTGTGACAGAACATTTTCTATGTAAATGTACGTCTTCGTATGGCCCATTTAAAAATATATATTTTTATGATTTTAACAGTATTTTTAGAACCTTTTTTTTTTGTAAATTTGGCATCCCGAACTTTGAATACCCTTTTCTTTTTTGATTGGTTAAGTTCATATTCTGTATTATTTTACGAATTAACCCGTTAAATGTTTTTAATTCATTAACTTGGTCCACAGGTCCGCTGCGATAACCCATATATATAACTGAAAATTGTTTCATCTTCTACTCACCATTTTAGCTGCCAGCGTCGAAGTTCCATTCGGATAAATTACACCCCTTCCAATCGGATTTGGTTGTTTAATTTCAATTGAGAAATTCATACGTTCCGCAAGCAAAGTTATTACAAACCCCTCGATGCCACGCAAAAATGTCAATTCCATCTCCTTTTCATCATCGTTCAAGAAAATATACGGAGGAAAATTCCATGTGGCCACAGACAGTTTACAACGATGCATATTTTTTACCTTGCTGGGGAAGAGTTTGATGGCTGTGGTAAAGTTAGGCTTTTTCTCAATGTCATAGAAAGACATTAGATATTCCGGTTGGGATGAGTGACATTTATCCGGGGCGAAAGGATAATAGGTATAGACGAAGGCATGTTTACCCACCATCATCAGGACATTGACATTGGTGACATAAATCCAAAAAAGGCGCTGGAAAATTTCTTTGATATTCGCCAAACGGGTGGCCTCACTGCCCGTATAGACGATAATGAAGTAGCCATTGCGGTGGTAGCGGTGATTGGGATTCAAAAGATTTGCTTCAAATTTGCTAAAATAAATTCCAAAAAAATATTAAATTGGTTTTTAGAAATTATTAAATTTAATTACTTATACGCCTGTATGCTATCCAAAAACCATATGGACTTCTCAGGGTTTGAGTAATATCTAAAGAACTTCTCCCTGATTTCGGCGGCACTCATTGTTGCCTCCGAATCATCCTGGGGATACATTTCTCCCTCCACCAGATATTTGATAATGACCTCAGGATTTGATATGGTCCTTAACACTTCATCCATAATGTCACTTTGTAACTGACGACCCTGATCGGAAATGGCATACTGACCGATAATGACCGCCGACACAGTGTATGTGGCGAAATATTCCCTTATTATCCACACGGTGGCCAATATTAGTGGAAGATTTTTATTTGACTGACTGCTATTCAAGGATAGTTCCATTAATGGATTCATGACACGTTAGGTTGGAAGCAAAAATTCAACTGTGAATGTTCGAAATGATGTCTCCGTCGCAGTAGGCCCTAAAAAGCAACAAATCTTGTCTGTCTGCTATGAAACTCTATGGACGACTGACTGGCAGACGATTTCGGAATTATGAAACGAATATTTATTGACATAGAATTTTGTTAATGTTGCACGTCGTGTTAAATAGGTTATTAGGTTTCGAGGTGATAATGTGATGTGGCACGGAAGCAGGATGAAATGGATATCATTGCATGACCTGTTGTGGTGTTAAAGTTTTAACACGAATACTCGCTGTGATCTAGGCGAATATTTATTTTATTACAATTTAAATTTAATCAATTAAGCGATGGCCAGATTTTTCTATTTTTAACCTTTGTCATTTCCATAGTGGTCGACATGTTGATTCGCTACAGTAATCTAATGATAAATTCAATAGTTTTTGCAAAACAATTCTTGAATTCTTTTTTGAAGAAAGTCCTCGATTTTTTAGATTGACATCTTTCAAAATCGCTTTTGCTAGGAAGTCGTTGAAAAATATTCTTAAAAATCCAAAGTTTTTCCACAATTTATGTGAACTATTTCTATGGTTTTACCTTCAATTCAATAAAAAATTAAAAAAAAAAAAAAAAACGCAATAGGAAGATATATATATTTGCATTTAAACCTGTAACTTTAGGTCTAGAGGCATTGAAAAATATTATTTAAAACTCCACTTTTTTTTTTTTTAATTAAATGTTTTATTTGGAGTTTCAAGTTAAAAAAAAAAAAAAAAACTGTTAAAAATTCAATAATGAAATCCTTACAAACTATATTTAAAAAAGAACTTACGACTTTACTCCAGTAAGCCCATGAAAACATTCACGATTTCTGAAAAGTATGTCAAGGGAAATATACGCGGAAAATCATCGCATTACAGTTGCCGAAAAGTCTTTTAAATTATTAAAAACAAGTAAGCAAAAGCTGTAGTCGTGCGGGGTTGACCATGTGATACCCTACAACACTACAATATGGTAGAAGCCACCTTATATTCAGATCGATTTTGGAAGGTTTCGCTTTTGAAATTATATCACGGAGCGCTGCCCAGATATTACCCTTAACATTTTTACAAGGAACATTTGCCAATATTTACGCACTCTGTCGTGCTGTTAGTTGTTGTGGTCCATTTTACAGTTAAATATAATCCAATGGTCCTCCAAAATGCTAGAACTCTTCACTGTCCTTAACGCTCTTCTCAAGCGTGTCGTTTGGCTTCAATCGGGTAATCAGGATTTTTTTCTGTTTATGGTTCATTTGAACCCCTAATATTTTGCAATCACCTCCAAAAGCAAGAGGCCCCTCAGAATCTCCAAATTTATGATTTTCTTGGCTACGATATTTGGCTATATTCGGCAACGAGAACAGCATTAAAAAGGTCAAAAGTTCACCTTTTGTGTATTTCGAATATCGTCTTTAAATAATGTTGGTACTTTTCAGACAAAAATAGTGGTCCATTCTAGCCGCAGTCCTAAACTCTAATTTTATGTGAGATTTCGTGTCCTTTGGATTTTATTCTTGACCTGCAAAATCAGGAATATTTTTAATTGTTGGTCCATTTCAACCCTCAATATATTGCGGACATCTTTCAAAACAATAGGCCTAGCACTTCTGAGCCTAACCTTATCCTTGTTAAAATTTTCGTGAGGATCGGACGATAATTGCAATATGTATATAATAACCCCAATCTGTGTTGTAAATATATACACTTCAATATTATAAGTCAAATTGAAAAAATCGCATGCGATAAAAAATATGAAAAAATAAGAATATGCCACAAAATATTAAAAAATCTATATTAACATCATTATTCGTATCTTTTTATGCGACTTCTTTAGATTTTATACTTTTATGCGAAGAGGGCATTCTTAATTGACAAAATTTGTCAAAATCGATTCAGCCATTCTTGAGATATAAGCATTCTAGCATACCCTCCTTTTGTAAATAAACATTGTATATATTTCGCTATATATATCCGATATATTTACAGTCGGTATCTACTTAACGGTCAGAATCGACCTATTCGTCTATTTGTGATTTCACCGGGATTAAAAATATTCGGTTTAATTGAAAATTTGACTTTAATTTAACACAAATGTTATGGTCTATTTCACCCACTAAATATTACCCGATGACCATCAAAATTGGAAGTCTCCTTTCCAGCCCTAAGCCCTAGTCCCGTGCTGACTTCTGCTTCGATTGGTCTATAATTGCGACCTGTAGAGCAACTGCAAAATCAGGAAATTTTTCAGTTTTTGGTCCATTTCAGCCCCTCAATATTATGCGATCATCTCCAAAACAGATCGTCTCAGCTCGGCGAGATAGGAAGATCCATGTATACTTTCCTATGTGGGAAAACAATATTTCGAGGTGTTACATAATTATTGGCCCAATCAAACTTATAATACCCCCAACACATAGTGTTGTAGAGTATGAAAAGCCTTAAGTTTCTGGCCTGGAAAATTTAAAATCACGTCACCTAACATTTTTGTTCGGAATTCCTTAGAAATGTTATTTTAGTAGAAATATTAGGAAGTGTGAAATTTGCACATATATTTCGCATTTTATAAGAGTTATAATTTTACAAAATTTTGACCCATTGTGGGGGAGATACCAAAAGGAGTAGTCCTATAAATTCCATCTTCACACCAGATTTTATATCGGAAAAAATAATGGAATGTGCCGAATTTGAAAGGAATCGGATGCTTGTTTTGCGTTTTATGAGTTACATGGTCAATCCAAATGTTGACCCTTTGTGGTCAACAGATTCTTGATGGATGGGCCGATGTTATCCATTTTCACACCTGATCTAGCAATGATACAAATATGAGAATTTTCAAAGTTAAAACAAAATCGGACGATCATTTCTTGTTCAGCGTGGTAAGTTATTTCTGTGAAAATGTTGACTTTCCCATCTTCAAACTCGATCAGGAGTTGATAATAATTTTAAGATGTACCAAGTTTGGACTAAATCGGTGAATCGTGCGCAAAAGCCAGCCAGACATACAGACGGACGGAATTTTTTGAAACCAATTTTTGGACCAATATTTTTTTTCCTCATTTTTTTGTAAAGCACGATTTTTGCCCGGCAAGACCTACGAAAATATTTTTATACCCTACACCACAAGGTGGTGAGGGTATTATGTCTTTGTGCATTTGTTTGTAACAGTCAAAAGGAAACGACATAGACACATAGTTCCTTTTGATGATCTGCATAGAATCACATTCTGAGTCGATTTATGCATGTCCGTCCGTCCGTCTGTCCATGTATTTTTGTAAACAAAGTACAGTTCGCATTTATTGCCCTATCCAGATGATATTTTGCACAAATCATTTGTTTGGCCCAAGGACGAACCCTATTAAAATCAAAAAAAAGTGGGTCAAAATTTAGATATAGCTCCCATATATATCTTCGTCCAATTTGCCTTTTATTGTGCACCAAACGTGTAATATCAGTCCGAATAGTATGGAATTTTGCACGTACGATCAGATTGGACCTGAAAATAAGTATGCCAAATTTGATCGAAATCGGTTCAGATATGGCTATAGCTCCCATATATATTGTTCATCCGATTTGTTATCTTTGTCCTCCGCAGCCGTAATATGCACTCTGTAACAACAATATTTGGGGAAATATTTCAAATACAGCTCAGAAATACCTTTGCTAAATTTGATCGAGATCGATTCAGATTTGGATATAGCTCCCATATATATTTTTATCCGATTTCAAATGCTTCGGCATATTTAGTCCTTTGAACTTTAAATTATAATTATAATCGTAGCGTGTATGATTGAATTCTCCCATGAAAATATTTAATTGTTATGCGCAGCTCTACTAAATTAGCAAGTGGTGTAGGGTATCATAAAGTCGGTCCCGCGCGACTTTAAGACTTTCTTTACTGGTTTAAAAAAATGTGAAACTCTTGAAAATATTTTCAAATCCAGCAAATATTATTAGAAGTTCATGATTTTATACCAGCAAGACCTATAAGAAGAGTGCACTGTTATAACCTCCAACATAATATGGAAGGTATATTAAGTTTGTCATTCCGTTTGTAGCACCTCGAAATTAACATTTTAGACCCCACAAAGTATGTATATATTATTGATCAGCATTAAATTCTATGTCGATTTAGCAATGTCCGCCCCATCTGTGGGAATAACTTTAGCTTCCGAACGAAATGAAGATAGTTGATAAAATTTTACTCAAATTTTACTCTGCAGGATTTTTGGTATTGAAAATGGCGACATTATTCACCGGAAATGTTTCAAATTTGGTATTTGAAGTTCGTAATGGATACTACAGCCTAAGACAAAAAATCTTTGTTCATTGTCATGTAGATTTTTTTTGTTTAAATCACTTGCATATTAATAAGAACGTATATATAATTCAATATTTCCTCCCTCTCCCTGGTTTTTTTGTAGTAATCCAAACAAGACTTTCGTATTTTTTATTTTCTTTCCCCCTACTACGAACACTTAATAATACTGAGCCGTATAATAAACGCTTATGTATCTGCTTATCTTCATCGAAGTTTTCACATAAAAGTCTTTAACATTTCGAACTTTTTCTTGGCTCCCCAGTGCCGGCATAGAGGGTGCAGGACTGGAGACAATCATTATTCTCTTTCATGCCATTAGTTTTCAATGGCCTTTCAATTGAATGCATTACCAAAAACACAAACAACCATCTACACTTGAACTCTAGAGGCAGATGATCAGCATGCCACAAAGAGTGGTAGGGAGAGAGGGCGGTGTATGGACAGCAAGAGCAAGTGATAGGCAAAGGACATACACATAGCTAGGATTCAAGTAGATTTAAAACGAAAGTAAGAGAAATTATTGTCATTCTTTAGATGTTAAGCTGTTGTATTCCGATTTCTTCCTTTTTTTTCCGAATATAAAAGCAATCCAGATTATTGTCACTTATGCGAGTAAATGTTGGCATGCACTAT